TTCATATGGTGAATCTTCTGATTGTGCTAATCTAACCGATTCGGAGCTAGCTCATATAGCAATAAACGATTCCTATCGTAAGGCAAGATGGCCGAGTTGGTCTAAGGCGTGAGGTTAAGGTCCACCTTAATATCAAACTGTAGAGTTTCCTCATCATCGTATGATGGCGTGGGTTCGAATCCCACTCTTGTCATTCAATTTCTTTTTCATTTATGAATTTACTTTTTGCCATCTATTTTTGCTTAATTTCCAAACATAATTCATGATTGGTAAACTCTTGGGCTCTAAAGCCCAAAGTAACCTTGCCCTCGATCAACAGACAGAAACTCGCCCAGTTTATATCTGGGACGCGCCAACAGGATGAGAATACTTGTATGATATCCCTCATAATCGCAGCAGTGTAGCTGACAAACGCATATAATGTATATTCAAAGAAAGTCTATATACAAGCCAAGTCTAAACTTCTCCCATCAATGAATCCGCAGACGCCATGATCTAGTATAATCCTCGTGTAGTCATCATACGCTTCAAACATTAACCAAAACAAAATAGCGTGTCGTGCACATGCCTTAGGTCGCAGTATTGGCGCAAGTAAAGCTAGCGTTGGAGGAGTCGTCATGGATAGCCTTGCCGGAGACGTACAATCCCAGACCACACTGCTTTTGATTAGTCTCCTTTATCTTGGATCACAATCCAGAGAACTTACCATGGTAGCACCGATAACGACGATCAACATGTTGATAATCGTCAAGCAGATCTTCCGAGGAGAGGAAAACCATCTACCCCAATTGATGTGCAACCAGTACACGCCGGGGAGACCGTAACTGAACCAACTGGCGAAGAGGGAGCTCTGTGTCCTATTAGCTTGTGATCCCAACAGGTCGAGGTTTATGACATACAATCAAGCTGACAATATTGGTGAAAGAAGGAATACCCTCGGCAATGATCCAGGCAATGATCCAGCAACTCAACCCAATGGCAATCCATGAGCCAACAGAGACAAGATCGCGCTTGTGCATGCGACCAGACTTGCGGAAGATGCGGACATAGATGTATTTCAATCCAACGTGGCCATTGACGACACCGGCTCCCACAATCTATCATCTTGTGAGCGTTCGCACAGAGAGCATGAGGTGAGATTTGGACCTACAGTAGGAATTGCAATACCGTAGGCAACTTTCTTCAGTAAAGGACCGGCAGAGCCCAGCGCCGGCGATACAATGTCGTTTCCAACGTAGTAATAGATGACGATGGCAGCTGTGACGTAGAGCGCAATCTCGAAGAACTGCAGCATGCACAGGGACTTGGTAAACTCTTTGGGGTCCTCCATTTCCGCAATGAGACCAAAGAACGCAACGTGGGCACAGTACGCGAAGACAATGTTGGTCACACCAGTGAAGGCGTGATAGATGTTGGTCTCGGCGGTAACACTGATGTTAGCTCCTCCCTTGTACTGGACGGCAACGCCAATCATGGTGATCATCACCGCGGAGAAAATACTCAGGAAGGCTGGAGTTTGTCAGTAATCAGTTCCAGGGAAAATCGAAAGGGCACTCACATGCAAAGGAGATATATGTCAAGTTCTTGATCGTCCGAGGTAACGAGAGCACCATACAGATGATCATGCCGACAATGCTAAAGACGATCGAGCAGGTGCCGTGGTCCGTAATTGTGTTCATCATGACGGTAAAGGTGACAATATGACTGCCCATAATGAAGATTGAGAACAGAATCTGGCCCAGACCGAATAGCTCGCGACCGAATCGACCCATGAGGATTTCTCCCGCATCAGCAAGGTTGTGGATATGAGGATAGCATTGTCGGAATTGCCCAATCGTGTAGCCCGTGTACAGCGCCAGGATACCGAGGCCGACTATCAAGATGATCGCGCTGCGACAATTAGTGACGAGCGCAGTTGCCGTCAAGCGCACACTTACGGGACCAGACCGAGAGCTTTCAGAGTTGCCGGCAAGGAGAGTACACCGAGAGAAACCGATTCAGCGATCATAACTAATCAGGGAGACGCGTCAGATTCACGTCGACTTGACCATTTCCATTCAGCAGCTTACACATTCCACATTGCCTGCTCAAGTCCTCCGTCAGCGATCAACTCCCTTGTTTAGACAGTCCGGGACGCGCAATACGTACCACCACTTGAGCGTCTTGTACTTGACTTCTGCATTTTGCTCGTCGCCGAAAGGGTCAATGTAAGGGGTATTGTCGATTGGTTTCAAGTCGGCACCGTCATCAATCGCCTTCTCTTGATCCTTCTGCTTGGCCTCGATGGGTTCCGATGGCGGGGGGACGCCCTCCAACATCATTGTCTTCTTTCTTTTCCTCTGGGATGGCAGTGACAAGAATGAATTCTACCGAGCAACGGATGGAGGACGAGCTATTTGACGAGGCAGCAAGACGAAATAGAGGGTGAGGATGTGACGATATGAGTGGCAGGTGAAAAAATTTCTGGACGTCAGCCAGGTGGGTCGTGGCAATGAATCTCGGTGTTGGTGTTGACTGGAGAACGCGGAGATATCAGTTGACTGAGAAAATCGATTGGTAATTGCATTAGAAACAAGGAGATAAACAATTCCAGAAGACATGCGAAGCCCCCAGATGCCGGGGCACAATCGGCAGTAATGGACCGTGTGTCATGGCTGCTGCTGTTTCTGAATCTGGCATGGAAAGTGTCATCGTCTAGGTAAACTTCCTAATCGGCATGCAGCGACTGAAGCTCTGCTCAGGAACAGATCCTGCGGCTGTGGAGCTTATTTGTGACTAACAGGAATTGCCGTCCAATCATCACTGAGGATCTTTCAACAATTGAGTAACGGGAATGGCTCCACTTCCGCCCTCTGCCGCCGCAACCGAATCTAGCCGCTTTTTCATGCGCCCTCATTGGCCCGATATACTTCCCTCGGTTTAGTTCCTTTTGGGAGGGCCACCTGGGAATCACTGTTATTAATGCTGTGCGCTTTCTGCCGGGATGCCAGACATTTTGAGACTTTGAAATCGATGCCTCAACATCAGATGGTCGAGGGATTGCTAGAACTCCGGACTGGACTGCATTTGCGAAATGCAGACTTGCATCCACCGCTGAGATGTTTCGCTTATGGGATGCTGCTCATGGAAATGGTTTACAGATCAGCAACCACTAAATGCTCCGTTGGTATATGCTCGTTAGAATTGTGTTCCATATCTTGCCACCTTCATCATCAGCGCAGCTCATCTCCATTATGGCCCGAGAAGGCTTTGCTCATTTCTCCCTCAGCTCTGACAGCAGCTTGTCTTCACATTGGGCAAGTATGGGAACCAGACTTTGGAATTCTGCACAGTACTGTGGCTGGTGTTGCTTTTCCTGAATGAGTCCTGTATAATGCGAGCTTTTGGCGCCGACGTTCTTCCTACCCTGCTACTGCTGAGGTTCTCATCTGATGTCGTCAAGATTGATCATGCAGTCTGGGATACCCCATACTCCGCATCCCACGCTCAACGAGGATCGTCCCACATGAGTGTACGTAAGGGGTTGCGAGGATAGTCGATGTGGTCAGTTCGAAGCATGACGATATTATCTCGGAATCAATGGAGAAGGGAGTTGGAGACGATGTGTCAAGGAATCTCGGAGAGCCAGGTTCTCGACACTGTCGTATTGGAGAAGATGGATCCCACGAGTAAATTATATTGGAGTATGGCAAACCGTGCCTCTCCCTGTTGCGTACGAATGAGGTTCCTGACCTGCAGATATCCGGGATCTGTTGAGTGCTTCGTACTTGAGCCTGAAGTGCTAAGTTCACTACTTTTAGTGGTCATTAAGCGACGATCGCAGAAGGGCCGTTTGTAATCTCTGCAGCGTCATTGCAAGTATAGGACTAGGGATTTGCAGCCTGGGAGCCTTAGGCAGCTGGATTAATCACCTGACATTCAGTGTCAGGTGACTTTGTCCCTTTCAAACGAGTATGAAATCACGTGACACCACATACTGCAGCATAAAATGCAGTTTATGCAACTTCTGTCTTCTTCGATCCTTAAATTGTGCAGATCAAAGGATCAAGCCAATAAGAAGATGCAGAGAAGGATAGGCTTTACACCTCTCCGCAAGGGTCTTGAGATGTCAAACCCAAGTGGTTGATAATTTTAGATGGTGGTGATCTCGGTGTATCTACTTGCAAAAACTTCGGCCTTCAGGGGCAAAACGCTCTGCTTCAATGTCGACGGGAAACTAGAGTCCGTCTTGTGGACATGGATCATGTATGATCAGTCTCTCTCCTGTCTACTCCGTAACGCCAAAGACTATGTTATCGCCATAGCAGAATGCTGCCTTGGTCATATCCTCTTCATGGGCTTCTGATCTTCCTTTTTGCTTTTTTCTTACCGTGTGAAGGTGCTTTTGTACGGCATTTTCCATGTGAGACATCAGTCTTGAATCGTTTGTTGGATGTCAATCTCCACATTGACAGCCTATCCGGTAGCATTCATACGTCCGAAAATGCAAGGACATTGTCGTTAACCCTGCTGGGTTTCTACAATGCATCACAAGTTTCCTGTACCGACGTCCAATTGACGGAGGAGAATGACTTGCGCTTCCGAGTGCTTGGCTACCCTGTTGGCCGTCTAGATCGGGTTCAAAAGCTGTGTTATTCTCCTCCAGCTCTTTGGAGGCTGTAAATAGGGTCCTGAATCTCCCTAAACTCTGCTGAACTGTCATCAGGCCGGAGTCTCTACAAGTCTCCAAATGGGAATTGACTTACTCCCTTGCATATGGCCATCCACTTCAAACTCTTGCCGGGGAATTTGAATTCAGTCTGCCTGATGGCACTAATATTGGCTGTGCGGGTGCCCGAATTACTCCCGACATTGGGACTGCTGCCTCGGCAGCCTTTACCTATCTTCCAGCCGCCATCATCCTCCTGGTGGGCATAGCTTCGTGATGCAGGCACACCCAGCAGAGAAGACGCTCAGTGCCCGAGCACGGAACCAACTTCGCACCTCAGGATTCAATAAGAATGGTTGTGGTCGATGTGGCCGACTACGTGCGGTACCTCCAGTTCATCTTCCTGGCTGGTTCCCTCACGATGGAATACCCAGGTTTCTACCAGCCTATCGTCAGCCAACTGGCGTGGTCATCGCTGTTATTTTGGAGCGGACCCATCGATCACGGCTTCACGTATCCCGGGATAGAAGACGGAATTTACGCGACCAACGGTACCTGTGGACTGGAGTACATGGCGCAGAATCTCGGATTTCCCTCCATGTTGGATATCATGTTCGACGCTCTGATAAATCTGTGCATTGTTGTATCTGGGATCGTGATCATAGTCCTGGTGGTATGGCTGATCGAGTGTGGATCGCGGAATGGCGCAACATTCGATTCTGCCCTTGCGAAAATCCCAGAAGCAAGCCGTAGCATTGTGGGCGTCACGCTTCTGTTCTTCAGCCTCCCTCTCTTGGCGTACCTGGCGTATCCATTTGTCCTCGTCGGACACCTGCCCAGTTACCGCATTTGTCTGATGGTCTTGATGATTGGGGTCCTCATTGACTCGAACCTCTTCATCGCTCGCTATCAGACGATACAGAAACCGAGGAGATCCGATCACGACTCTTCCAAGGCGTCCCCTCGGTTTCAGACCGCCATGGAGTATATCGCTTATTATCTTCTTTACTGCCTTCCACTCATTCAGGGTCTAGCTATCGGTGGTCTGCAGCTCTGGGGCTGGGTACAGCTACTCCTGCTCGGCGGATGCGAAGTGGTCATTCTCGCCCATCTTGTTCTTCAGCAAAGGACGAAACTTATCTTTTCGAAAAGCGCCTGGTGTACTGCTGTCCGCTTGTTGACGCTCATCCTGAGTGTTGCCTTTGTGTGCCCGTCCCGCGAGATAACAAGGCAATGGATAGGCTATTTCATCTTGGTTCTCCATGGTGTTGTAGTCGTGCTCGGCTTTTTGTTCATCTCGCTCTGGCATATAGGACGGTTCGCCGTTAAAGGACCCGATCGTAGGTTTGCCTGCGATCCATGGGTGGGTTCAGGTACAGTTCCGGTTAGTCTCGACTCTGCCTTTCTATTTCAGCAAGCTTACTTGTGTCCAGCATTTGAACCTAGCCGAGCTCCCAAGCCCAAGCGACAAACGCCGGAAACTAGACGGGAAAAATCTGGAGGTCAATTCTTTCGACAGCATCTCCGATCGCTACCGTCCAGGTTCCTCGCGCAGAATTTACAGAGACTTTGAAGACCGTCCAGATATGCCGAACTTTCCTACTTTGCCAGACGCCACAGCGCCATATTCACCAAACGCTTCGACGTTTTACAGGCCCCCACGATCTCATAATGGCAGGGTCGCTTCTCATGAGCACGAGAACGCCGACTCTGGTTCGATCGTTCCAGCCCTCGAGTCATCCGAGTCGGCGCAGACAGATTTCAACTCGTCGCCACATTCAAGCTCAAGCGACGCCTTCGACGAGCTGTTACGATTGCCAAGCAAGTCGGGCGTCGACTATTCAGTCCGTGAATCGGATTTGTATTATGGCCGACGTCGTGATGTTTCAGGGCCGTCACAAGAGTCCTTAAATGAAAGCACGGACAAGGGCCAGTCGAGTCGACAGACATTCTTGAATTGGAAACGCAGTTCTGCCGAGCGATTCAAACATAAGAAGACAAAGGGGAAGGGTTTTCAAGTAATGAGACCATCGCGGCCAATGTAAGTCCGTTTTCGGACTGCAGCACCTTCTTCCCTCGAAGTTTGTCTATATCTATCGAAATGGCTAGTCGTGGGCGTATAAACCATGGCCCAGCACTGTTGGCGTCACTAGTCGCCATGACCATGGTGCCAAATCTAACCAGCATCACTTTTCAGGATGTCTTGCACAGGAACCGTCGGGTAGCACGATGGCTTTTCCAGATCAAAGGTTGCATGTACTGCACTGTTTGCATGACCACGTCGGCGCCGGGTCACGCTCGGCCAGCAAAGACCTATTCCGTCAGTCTGGGATTCAGGATTCATCTATCGTACCAGTTACCTGCTAGGCCCACAATCCGTTCGCACCTCGCTCACCTTCCAGTGGGGGAGCGAAGCGCTTTGGTCCGTCATCGTACCGATCATCATCAGCCTTGCTAACAGAATCACCCTGTCCAGGCGTATAGACGAGATCTTACGGACGCTCCTAGTACGGTTCATTATCTAACATAGGTCGTTTCTTCCGAGACGTGGCCTCCAACCGCAGACATCATTTGCACGGGCTCCCACACCTATCGGGCACAGGGCGTCGGTTGATCAGGCGGAATTATGTGTGCCCAGACTGATACAGATCAAGCGCCGACCACTTCCTATCCCTGGAAATGCGCTTGGAGTTCGAGACGCCCAACCCCAAATCACGTGTTGGCCCGATGGATGCTCATCAGCGGCCGCCACGGATGATTTCCTTGAGGATTGTTCGCCATTCACGTTACTGGAGGCTAGCTTGTCATAGACGGATAACAACCGGTGTAGTTGTGGGGGTGTGCGTGCCCCTGTGCCCCGCGAGACAGCCTGTATTGACGGCGATTCATTGGTCCAGAAGAAACTATGTGTAAGAGCTTCACTTGGGATCTGCGATACAACCGCATTCCCCGCATCGTCGACTCTCCTCATCCTGCTGCCACCTCTCAATGATCGGCTTCAGTTGTGTGCCGAGATCCGAGCAGTGAAAGACCTCCTCGCGGATGATTGTAGGCGAAGAATGATTTCCCTTGGTACAGTACCATCGCAGTCGATCGAGAGATTCCGCCGGTCGTTGTCGTTCCATGACGAGACCGATGGTATCTTTGTATCTGACGGGGTTGTGGGGTGTGTTTCCTACATGTGTCAGCCTAATCGACTGTGAGTTTGGAATACGCACCTGGAAGAAGGAACATGTCGCCCTCTTTGATAGGGATGTCGCGGAATGTGTCGTTCTCTATAATCCGGAGAAGCATGTCGCCTTTGACTTGGTAGAACCATTCCTGCTCATTAGTCTAGCTCAGCTTATGTTGTTGGAACATACTTCGGTTTCATTCACTGGAGCTGTCAGTTATAGTTCTTCTATATCTAGAGGGATCGTACCATGATAGTCATTTCGTTCGTTGGGTCCTCCCACTGCCATCAGGATAAAGTCATTCCCCTGATGGAGACAGCAGTTGTTGACTGGGGGCCGTAATTTGTCCTCATTTTCGGCCAACCAGGTGGCCCAGGACAGGGGATTGAGGATCGTCATGTTGATCTGGATTGCAGGTTGTCATGCATGTCCGATGATGTCTACTGGGTATTTATCAATGCATCGGATGCTATCTGGATGGGATCCGTATACGCCCCGCATATAATACGGATCGAGATAACCTGGGGTCGATAATATGTTTCTCTTCTCCAATTTCATCGAATTGTCATCGATAACATAGCCGTCATAATCATAGTAATTAACTGTCAGAAGATCATCAAAATGGGAAGCTGTTGTACAAACCACCGCCTCCTCCGCATCGACATGCACACCCATATTATGCCCCCCTCGTTCCCCGACCTCTCCTCATATCCCTCCAACACTCCTCCCCCATCATCTTCAGACTCAGACTCATCCACCGCATCAGCCTCGGAATCACCATGGCTCACCCTCCGTCCAAACCCCACCAACCCAGACGAAGTAGACATGTACATAGGCGACCGCTTCTTCCGCACCGTCGAGAAAAACTGCTACGACACGGCAACAAGACTAGCCGAGATGGACGACGCAGGGACAGACGTCCAGGTCCTCAGCACAATCCCCATCCTCTTCTTCTACGACCAGCCCTCCGCCCCCGTGATCGTCCTAGCTAGACACCTAAACAACCACATCGCCTCCGTCTGCCGACAACACCCAACCCGGTTCCTCGGTCTCGCAACCGTGCCCTTACAAGACGTCCCCGACGCCGTCGCAGAGCTGCACTGCGCAAAGCACGAGCTAGGCCTGCATCCGTTCTGGGCTGCATGCGAGGAACTAAACATGCCCGTCTTCGTGCATCCGCTCGGCTACACCTGGCCGAAGGAGAACCCGCGCCGCTGGGCAAAGTACTGGAGTAGCTGGCTCATCGGGATGCCGTGCAAAACGGCGCTAGCGCTGCATCTGCTGATCTGCTCGGGGACGCTGCTGAAATTCCCGAAACTGAGGCTGTGTTTCGCGCATGCGGGAGGGTCGTTCCCGGCGTTACTGGGGCGGATCCAGCATGGGTATGACTGCCGGCCGGATCTGGTGGCGGGGGATGCGGGCGGTGTCACCCCCACCGAGCATGCGACTGTGCGTGAGAATATCTGGATTGACAGTTTGACGCATGATGTTGAGTTGCTGGAGTATCTGGTTAAGAAGGTTGGGGCGCATAAGATGATCATGGGGAGTGATTACCCGTTTCCGCTTGGGGAGGTGCCGGAAGCTGGGAGGATGATTGCAAAGGATGGACGGTTAGAGGGATTCTTGTCTTGGAGGCAGCGGGCTGAGATTCTTGCGGGAAATGCGCTGAGGTTTTTGGATCTGGATAAGGATGAGACGTGGAAGGGGTTGATGGAGGAGAGGTGGCGGATGTTTGAGAAGGTATATATCAAGTGATTTACATTAGAACTAATTAATGGACTTTCTTACCGTAATGAACACACAGATTTTCTGCTCTTTTTCTTTCTCCATTAGCCGGTGGCTCTTCCTCTTTCTCGATATCTGCATCTTCTGGACTCCAGTCGGCGAGATGGAACAACCCGTTCATCCAGGCTGTATCCGGCATGGACGAAAACATACCACCTCCTAGAACAGATTGTTCCAACCCAGTCCAAGGTTCAAAGTGCGCCGAGGCAGCGTCATATTACTCCAGCTATTATTACCTTAGGGTTCTACATACCTGTGAATGTGATTGCGGAATACTGACAAATCATATCCGCTGATCCCGCTCTCCGCCGGGTTGCCCGACTTATCCTCGGCTTTGGGACAGTTTGCTTCTCTTCTTTACTCATGGTGACTCACGTAGAGCTAACACACTCATTGTGACTCATGTAGAGCTAACACGAACAGCATAACTTATATCCGATCGGGAACCCGTCTCCTATTGCTCAAATCGACAAGCAAGATGTCTCAACTCGTCACAACCATCTCCCGTGCATACCCATGGATGAAGACGCCGTTGATCGTCAGCGCCCCGATGCGGGTTATGGCCGGCCCCACACTGGCGGTTGCTGTCTCCCACGCTGGCGGGCTAGGATTCATCGGGCCGGGCGTCAAAACTCAAGATATCGGCGCTGATCTCGAAGAAGCATCGATGTTGATAAAAAAGCTCTCTGCATCCCAAGCTCAACCGTCTGCACTACAAAACCAACCTCTTCTCCCGGTAGGCGTCGGCTTCCAACTCTGGAACGACGACGTCGAAGTCGCCGTCTCCACTATATGCAAATACAAGCCCTGCGCTGCCTGGCTCTTTGCTCCGCGCAACGGACAAAAAGACCTGGATACCTGGTCCCGGCGGATCCGCGGTGCGTCCCCGTCCACCCGCATCTGGATCCAGATTGGCACGCTAGCCGAGGCAAGGGGGCTTGCACAGGGCCCCGAAGAACCAGACGTGATTGTCGTGCAGGGTGCAGAGGCAGGCGGACACGGCCGGGTCAACGACGGTCTCGGAATCATGGCACTACTCCCGGAGGTGATGGACTGTCTTCCACCGCACATCCCTGTGTTCGCGGCTGGGGGAATAGCTGATGGGCGTGGCGCAGCAGCGGCGCTGTGCCTTGGGGCTACAGGCGTCGTGATGGGGACGCGGTTCCTTGCTGCTACAGAGGCAAGAATTAGTCCAGGCTATCAGCGGGAGATTGTGCGGGCCAGCGATGGCGCCGTCTCGACGACACGGACGATGCTGTATAACCAGCTTCGGGGTACGGTGGGCTGGCCGGAGCAGTACAGTCCTCGGGCGATTATCAACAAGTCGTTCATCGAGCATCAGGCGGGTCGACCATTCGACGAGCTGAAGAATCTTCATGATGAGGCTCTCAAGGCAGGAGATGCTGGGTGGGGACCGGAGGGAAGGCTGGCGACGTATGCTGGTGCTGCGATTGGGTTGATTCATGATGTGAAAGACGCTGAGAGAATTGTCCAGGATGTCCAAACGGAAGTCCTGCGGAGACTTTCAACTGTACAGAATGCCAATTCGGCGCAGTAAAGGAATGGGATGATGGGGTATGCCCTTCAGATTGTCTCCGTACATAAACTATAGGACATAGTAGATAACACATGCTGAATACTAAGAGATATCAAAATGCATGGCTTAGCTATTATAAATGGGTTCCATCCTCAATTCCGGACCTGCCAATCCCTTCATTCGTATCATCCTATGCAGGTCAAGCAACGACACTGAGATAGTTGGAATTACTGACCCTAAATTGCAACTTCTCACTGACCGCTCTATAGCAACCGTCGATTGGTTATTGCGGTTTATTGCAAGTGTCAGCCTCACTAAAATCTCTAGATTGCATCAGCTTGTAACCCTTCAGAACTCCCTCGATTATCGCCCGTCGAGGACATAGGCGCAGTCACAAGGTCATGCCGTAATGCTCTGCTTCTCAAATCCTCTTTTCTTGCGCGCGCTACCATAGACAACGCGACACTCTCGCAAGCTTGCTTCCAGGCTCCCTGGAGGGAACTTTCATCTACACCCATGAGAGTGTCTGCAGCTGCGTTAATCTCCTCCAGATTCGCTCCACTTCCAGGCGATCCTGCTCTCTGAGACAGGGTTACATATTGCAGTGCTAGGACCCACAAACGCTTGGACGTCTCATAGTCCTCATTCAGTCGACTTACTCGTGCGTATACTGACGCAACAGAGCCACAGAGCCTGAAATACTTCCCGTCAGGAGGTTGAATCATCTCCGGCGGCACCAATGACATAAAATCGTCAAGGACAGTGCTCAAGCGTCCCAGTTGCTCCTGAGGTATTTCCAGCAGAGATTGTGCGTCCACACCGGCACATGACTGTCCGTTGAGAAGAAAGGCGACGGCTGCATTGTCCCGCAGATCATAGCAAGACAGTTTCAGTCGAACGAAGGAGCGTACCATATTGACGATTTCAAAGCTGTCGATCACGGAATCGGATCGCTTGCGATTGAAGCTTACAAGGCCAGAATCCTCAAGAGTTCGAAGCGCATTTGCGAAATCAGTCACTCGTGACCGTAGGCTGTTTAGCCAGTTTATAATGCTCAACCACGACGGATCAGCCAATTCCAATGCAGACAGTGAGTTGAATAACACTGAGAATTTGTTGTGATCACCTGGTGCGTACAAGATCAGTGAGGACGGTATCAGTCCTGGGCCAAGGAATACAGCCAGATCGAGAAGCTTGATCGAATCGGCACTTCGCTGGCCGGCAGTATCGTACAGCTTTTCCAATGCAGCCCACAAAGTATGTCCCTTTTCGTATGCTCCGATACAATGATACACCGGAGTCTTGAAAGTCGATTTGGCAAACTCTTCTTGAAACCTCCGATTGAACTCGTGCAAGGAATATAATCCACATCGTAGGAAGGATCCTGCTTGTTCCAAGGCAAGAGGCACTCCGCCAACTTTGCGGGAAATTGCCTTGGCTGTCTCCACAGCTAAAGAGCCATGTCAATACGATGCGACGCATACAACTTGCCGTAGACTTACCTGGAGAGTCTGGTTCTTCAACGCCTGCACAGCGCAGTAGTATGTGAGCACCTGCGTCGTCATCCACACCTTGTACATGTATACCCGGATAGCCCAGCCGAGCGTGCAAGTACGGCGACAGGGTTGTCAACAGGACATGTCCATGATTGCACGAAGGGAAATACTTCCTAATGTCGATATTCTTAGCTGTTGAAGTGTCCGCAGTTTTGGCACCGTCAAACACCATGATCCAAGCCGGATTCGTTACTTGCTCCAGCCACTCCAACACGCGCTCAATTGGTGATTGCTCATCGTCCATGCATCCTTGTATGTTCGACCATATTTGAAAGAAGGAGTCACGGATAGAGTCCCAAGACGAACAATCGATCCACAGTATGGAGTCATACAACTTCCTTCTCACGGAAATGTAATTGACGGCCAACTGCGTTTTTCCGTATCCACAAAGTCCCCGGAGCACTACCCCTTTTCTTCCCTGTCTAGGATCTTCCAGTTCTTCTTCTATTTCATTCATTTCAATCTCTCGACCTGTAAAGACCGTTTGAAGCACTGGCACACTTGAATGGACACTTCGGGCCTGGCGGGATTCTTTAGGTGGGTCAGCACATGCAGCAATCACTTGTACTCCTGACTTACTAGCTTTCGCACTAGGTGCCCAGTATTGCAGAAACGCTTTAGCACCAGAGGCAGCTATTGCTGCTGCATAGTTTTGCCATACTCCATTGTTATGGCCATCGGCATAGTGGGATACGCCGTTGATTATCACACAGGGAAGGGTATCCCACACTCCTCCCCCGATGGTCTCAAAAGCAATTACCTCCTCCGCCTCCGCAATCCTGTCACGATGCTCCCCGGACCTCATTACCGCGTGTCCTGATGCGACCATGCCAATATGAAGTGCAGGCTTGACTGTCTTTTCGCCGGATCTCCGGCGATGGACCTGTTCCTCATCGCATCCAAGGATGCAGCATTCTCCCTCCGGTGCGTCTTCGCAGACCGTATCCTCAAATACGCCGTTAATGCAAACCCAGTCGAGAAGATCTGACCGTCGGCGATGGTGATGTCGATATGCAGATGGAAAAAGGATATCCTTAGATGCCCCTGGATACTGCCACTTTGGACATCCCCGAGACTGTAGCTCTTCCAAAAAGCCAGCACTCTCCTCCTCCATTAGTTTTCGGTTTCCATCGGTCAATAAAGCATTTAACAGAGTCCGTATTGCTCTGTTCGGCCTTCCAAGGACATACTTAACGTCCGTTGTCCGCTGAAACCCCCAAGAACACTGCTCTCCAAGATCAAATTCAATCACACTATCCGCAATGACAATGTCTCCTAGGAAGATATCTCTCTCACTGCAGGACGGCGACGGAACACCGCCGCATACCCCCACGACCAGGGCGAGCTGGACGCCTGTGTAACTGAACACCAGGCTCGAAGCTACGCTCGCTGAGCTGCATTTCCTCGCCTCTGGCGCCTGGCATAAAACCACATTGTGCTTGCCAATCCGTCCGTTTACATAGAGGTTGCAATCCTCGGGTTCCTTATCGTAGATCTCGCCGAATCGGTCGTAGACCTCGTCCAGCGATGCCTCGATTGCCTCGGCTTCACAGGATAAGCTGCAGATAATGGCAATTTCGAACTCGTCGCGGTGTTGAGGACGCATTTCTGAATGGCTTGTCAAGAGCAGTGGCAGAGAACTTCAAATCTATATATGAGTTCGGCGCTCGAATGGGCTGTCGTGAGAGGATCTAATAAAATATGGCTCTTCTGTCGTAGGGCGACCGCTACCAGTGCATAAATTCCACTTGCTTGAAGTCAATATGACTATGAAGCCAGCATTGAGCATTCAAATATCTCAGTTGGGCCTTCCTACTGCTTCGTAGTTAACCTGGAGCCAATCATGAGGCCGCAGTAGCCGCTTGAGCGAGGACCTCTCTTCTCACGATAGGCATGTACTGAGAATAAGCGCGTAGACAATCCAATTATATCTCTTTCACAAAGGTATTGATTGACCGAAGTAGCCATGCATAGGCCGGATCTGCGCTGTCTCGTGTCATCAATCAACCATCTGCATCCTTGTTAGCGGCAAACTTCCAGTGACGTACAAGACCATAGGTTGTGGTGAGATCTGCAGATCTTCTCAAGGCGCATCATAACTATTAGTAAATTGTGAGCACCAGCCGCATTTGCAGTTGAAAAATGGCACTGGTTGATCGAAGAGAAGAACACATTTGTTGACGCTTACGGGTCCCCACGAGATGGCAGTAGAGAGTTATCTGATGAGCTTTCCAGTGATTGCAGCCTGGCGAATCCCAATATCGACTTCTTCTGGTACGTAATTGATTTGTCAATTGATGTTGCTCAGCTTGCTCCTGTTCCTCTGAAACAGAAGTAAAACAACCGTCAGAGTCAGTGTACTATTTATTATGAGACGGCCGATCCCGAATCTCACCATCATGGAAATAAACACAGCCGCACACGAACAGTCCACATTGTAAACTGTTGAATGTAACGTCATTGTTTCACCAGAGACAATGTTCCTTGAAGGTGGAACATCACGAACATCCCTTACATGCCGATCCCCATGATCGACATCGGCTATCGATTTGGCGAGCGGCACATCGTGAACTATTGATTCTCAGTGACAAGTCACATGTGGAATCACTGCAAGCGAGACCAGACTCACAAGTATAAATTGTTCGACTCGATACCTAGGGAGAGTGCGAAGCTCATATTCGGTTGGGTTCGATTCTTCCTCAGTAATCTTTCTTCAATATACTCAATCTCTGAAAATGAAGACAGCCGTCGTTCTTGCTATTATCCCCTTCACACAGGCCCTCGTCGGTCTGAGCTGGAGCGTTTCCAACACTCCCTCCTATGGTCTGAAGGACATCACATTTCCCATCTCGATGGCCAATGCGCCTCATGAGACAGGCTTCTATTTCGCACAGCAATTCTCCTTCAACGGTCTCTCTGAGGTCGGGTATACCGGTCTGCAGCCCCGTCCCGATGCCTCCGGTTCAAGCATCGTCCACGCCGTTTTCTCCTCCTTCGTGGCCGGAACCACGAGCACCGACGAGAACTGCAGCGATGGCGCAGACGGCGGTGCAGGTGTCAGCTGCGGTGTGGAAATTTCAGCACCATATGCTCCACTCTATGACCTCGTGGTCAAGAACACAGGCGGCACCACCTGGACGGCAACCCTGGTCGACACTGCGAGCGGCAAATCGACACATGTCGGGTCGTACACATTGCCGAGTGGTGCTGGAGGAATCAAAAGCAGCCAGGTTGGCTTCATTGAGTATTATCCGTGGAACGCCGGGAGCCATACCTGTGCCTCGCTCCCGTATACCAATGTGACGTTTGGAGCGCCTACGACGAACACTCCCGGGGCCGGATTGGGTCAGTTGAACAAGCCATACGAGTATGGAGATTGCGTTGGAAAGGTGAACTTTAATGTTCGGACGACAGATCAGGGATATCAGGTGTCTGTTGGCTTTTAGAAAAGAAATTCCTCTGTCTTGTTAGAGATCGGGAGATAGGCGTTCACTTTTGTTCGAGTTCGTCATCAATGGATCGCAGCGCCCTCTTTTCCAGAATTTTAACTTCTCTGTACCCATCAATAGTGCGTACAGCAGAACCGTCCACTCGGAGGGCTGATCACCGTGTCTCTCGGGCATGAATCCACTGAAAGAGAAGCCCAAATTGGCCCATTGTCCATGCGGGTCATCTTTCATTGCTTCCAATATAGGGGTACGCAGTTTTCGTACCTGATCAGAAACACAATATTATTTAGGTTCAGCACCAGAGAATACGTGCCCAGAGCCAGAAGAGCAGTAACAATGGCGAATGCCACTTGGTTGAAATCTCGGTTGATGCTCCATAAAGCAGCGCAATAACTTAGTGGCAGATAGAATATGCTTACGTATGTGAGCAGTTTGACGTTCTCACCAACCTGAGTAGGTGTCAGCGCTCAAGACTGTTGACAGTGTGTGGAGACGGGATCGATTCCCCTCATCGACGAAATAATAGACGCGAGGATACTTGAGCGTTTTATCTGCAGCGTAAAGAAGAGTCTGTCCTTGACCTTGAAACTCAGCGTCACTGTCTTCACGTTTCAGGCAGGATTTCAGAGAGGTTGTGATTTATTCTTCCATCGAGCTGGGGCGCATCCTCGATGGACTGGTTCCTTTTATCGTCATCTGGGAGATTATATTCATTTGTACCCGTCCCAGTGGCTTTATCTCCCTCAAGAAGAAGCTGCTGGAGCAGGCTATTTTGGATACGCAGTCGTTCATTCTGCTCTTTGAGCAAACCTCGTATCTCGCTCCACAGGTCGGTGGACGAACCATTTGAGGACCGTCTGTTCTCCATGACCCAGTAAAACCATACATGAATCATCTGATTTGCGCATGTTATAGGCTCAACTATAGTCGAACGAGTTTCAGAAAAAGCTCGAGGAGACGCGGATTGAAGCTGCGACATTGAACGAGGCTGAGTCTCAACGCGTCACCCGCTTTATTCCCAAAAGGGCAAGGCTGCTCAAGCCATTGTTTATGCCTTTTTCTCTTGCTTCTTCACTCTTCCTGGACAGGACAAACGTATCATCGATACATGAACCACTTGTTGAACTGATGACGCAAAATTACTAGACTAAAATTTTCATTGCTAACACCACAGTATCGCAACTAATACATTCTATCGGGACAAACGAAACCCACTGGTCCGTGTCTGGAAGAATCCCGCAGGATCATACCTGAGTCTCGTCTGCAGGGCCTGATCGCGTGTCCTCAACCGACCCCAGTAGTCTTGGTCAGCGTCCGCATCATTCATATACAATGGACGATAAACATTCGGCAGAGTTCCATTAGCAATGTACTCCGTAATCAAGCGACCAAATCCTTTGAAAAGCTCCTGCGTGGCATCGCGCATCCGAGCGTCGGACAGCGCCAGCGTCCACTGCAGGGTGATCTGAAGGAGAATATAGTCCTGGTCTGGGGGAAAGTCAAGCAGATCCTAGGATTCCGGTCAGCAGCGGTTGGTTTGAAATGTATGGGAAACGACTGACTCCTCCGAGCTCCAAGGCTTTCTGTGCGATGTTCCGTGGGAAGGGCTGGAAGGCGATGGTTCCCACCATACCGGTCTCCAGCAACACCTCGTTGTTTACGTCAAGCCAAAAATCAAAGATGGACTGCAAGACCTCGGGGGACATGTCTTTTGGGACGGGGAGGGTTTCACTTGCAACGCTGTATCGGCTTCCGCTGTACGGTGTCAGTGCTGAACGAGTATTTCCGGACGCAACTTACTGAATGATATATTGGTCGCCGTTTTTCAGCTGTTCGAGTCGGTCAGACATGAGCAGCGCATTTCCAAATTGATTCAGCACCCACCAGATCGGTATAGCGGTCATATGTCCGGGTTTTATCGACTGGATTCAAGGCAGTAAAGTTGTCAAAGATACCCGCCGGGGGCTTCTCCCCATTATAAAAGAGGAACATGACCCAGGTATCGATCGCTGGTGCGTGCGCCCTGGTCACAATAATTGAAGCCTTCTCATCGGGGTAGTACTCGACAAAATCCTGCACAGCAGCAAGCATCTTCGCCGTATCCACCCCGGAGAAGATATAATTTCCTCCCCAAACGGGGTGATCCATCGGGCGTGTCTGGACGGTATACGAAGTGACGACCCCGAAAGAGCTGCCTCCACCTTTCAAGGCAGCGAAGAGATCCGAGTTCTCGTTTGCATTTGCATTGACGATCGTGCCGTTTGCCAGCACGACCTCGTAGTTGAGGATATTGTTCGCTGCCCAGCCATACTGCGGGCTGAGGTAGCTGAGACCACCTTTTCATGCTCAGGAACCACATTCATATGGGAGCAGAATCAAGACTCACCTCCTAGAAGCAATCCTCCAACACCTACACCTCCCAGCCTCCCGCCGACAACTGCCCGCCCGGTTCCCTCCAACTTCCCCTGCACATCCTCCCATCTCTGCCCCGGCCCGATAACAGCCGTCTGGGTGGACGGGTAATACACCACCTGATCGAGATTCTTCGTGACGATCAGCAATCCGCCCTGTGTACTTGCGAAACCAAGGTTAGGCGAGTGACCGCCGGATTTGACCGCGAATTGGTCCTGCGTGTACCCCAGCGCGGTGATCACATTTGACATCTCCTGCGCATTGTTTGGCACAACCATGCACTCGGGATGAAGATCCGAGCATGCCGCCGACCAGTAGTTGGTCAAGTCGTTGGCATACGACACCGAGAGCGGATACTCAACCTGGAAGCCATGATCGGCCAGGACGGAGCAGAGACTGTCCGAGGTGCCTGTCAGGGCGTTGACGAGGGAGGTGACTAGCGAGGTCATATTGCGGTTATACTATTATCTACAGAGTCATACCAATGGTCAGCGCCGGCCAGCTTTAAGTACTGCAATGCGCCGAAATGAACCATCAGCCACCTTCGATAGATCACAATCTCTGATTCTGCACCCACTAATCCTAGCTCCTGCATTAGCTCTGGATCAATCTCTAGAACCTGATATGGGTTTCTAGGAGAAAAGGATTTGATTTTCCCTGTTATATGAGTCTCGGCATGCAAGTTTCGGACCGGACTTGTTCATTGCACCCAATCATACATTGTCGGGCTTCATAGCTTGGGATTGATTATGGCCAGTCAATGGACAATCCCTCTCGGCTAGAATAGCCATTATGATGCTCAAGGATGAAATTGAGGGAAGGCTGGTATCTTGGCCCTCTTGCTCGTAGGACGGTAGTTTATTGATGGATGGGATCTTTGCCTGGACATTTAGCCGCTGTACGAGCCTCAGCCCTGTGTATTTCATGTCTACATTTGAGTCTCCCATCTGTGAGCCATCATGGTGATGATGCTTTTATGCCTCCAAATACGAGATGGCCTCGACAGTCTAGACCCAATTGGGGTGATATTCAACTCGTCCATGGTGGCTTGCATCGGCAGATTCCACCAACCAGTAGATCTAAGCAAAGACCACCAGTTCTTCACGCTAGTCAAGCGCCAGGAAGATTTCCATCTGTCATCTGGATTTCTCCTCGACAATTGAATTAAGCGAGGGGCCCCGTGCCCTTTGCATGAGATGGCTAGTCAATGCAGGACTTCTCCTAATGCGTCCAAATCTCCGAAACCTAATCCTCTATGATCTTTCCGGTCTCCCTTCACGGCACAATGACCAGTCCTACGAGTGAGGAGGAACCATCGTTCAATCCTGCTGGTTCATGCACGATGACGTTCCAGTCACCAGTATGGAGTGCCATGTCTCGCTTCCACATACTGAGGGTCCTACCCTGATAGGCTGCACTTGGATTTCTTTCTCTCTAAGAAGCGAGTTCTCATGTTGGTGACTGGGTATCTGCTGTTTGAACATATCGGCGATCTAACCATGTAACTGGGTCTGTAGTGCCAAGTTTTTCAGAGCTCGCGTGATCAAGCTTAGTGGCTGTTGCAGTGCATGGAGACTAACAGCTCACGATGTAGAGGGACTCCGGGGGAAACTATCAGACTACGACGCGCTCATATCTAACCCGCAGGCGATCCGCTACGTCGCCGAATTCATGCATCAAACAGGCCTGCTCAGCCAGTTCCGCTATGTGGAAACAGTGGATGAGCAGAACCAGGAACATGGAAGCCTCCTGCGAGGCTCCGGAATAGATGTGGAAGACGATGGTTAGATGGACCGAATAGCTGCCTAGGGAGGGTCTTCCTAGACGCGGAATCGCACTATGTTTGGAATGACTACATGGAATGAGGTGGGATAGGTATCGCGCCAGATGGCGCAGGGGAGACATGCAGTTGAGTGGCAGGCTGCTTTGGTTGTGATTTCTACATTCTTTTCGATGTTTCTTATGTCTTCGTCTGCATTTGTGGGTTATGGGATAGGCGTTTGGATACTAGATTCCTGCTTCATTCGGCGAAGCGCCTGCATAGCTAGTCGCTTCTATAGACAGGCTCTAACAGGTTAATAGAATCTTGATTGATTGATTGATTGATTGACTAACAGCTCACAACAGAGGTACAGGAGGAGTATCCTTTCCGCCGAATACCTCTCCTCTTGACCTGTTGACAGGTGGATTATTATTTGGACACTGCTTTCTGACGGTATCCTACATATGCTGACTTGAGGGCTCACACCCGCTGTAGCTGAATGCAATTAGATGACCCAGCAGCTTCTGGGCTACCATTGAAGACAGAGGAAGTGTCTCATTACGCCCTAGTGATGTAGTTAATATTTAGTGTTGATTCAATCCCAAGAGTCGCTATATGTATTTGTATCATGGATCTTCTAATCTAAGTTTGGCATACTGATCCACAAACTCGTCAAAAAGCTTGTTAAGCCCGTGAAGGTTCAAGGGATCCTTGTCATCTTCTTGACTCATGAAGCACAGCATGTTGTGGATGTCAAAAGCGATTGCCAACAGATATCCATATTCAGATTCCAGGAACACCTGGTCCCCAGTATCTGAATCACCCTGTCAGTTTGTTCCACTGTTTGGCATATTCCTCGCAGAAGTGTCTCTTCTCCTCTTCTGTGTACTTTCTGCACCTTGCTATCCTGCTCTCCTCGTCAAACCATTTGAACATCTTCTGCATAAAATGCCCACCAATGTCAAACGCTCGATAGTTCTGCATCACAAACTCAAAGTCAATCAAGGCAACTCTGCTCTCTCCTTCCTTCGGATTGTTCTTCACCATGACGTTCATGAATTGCACGTCATGGATACACCACCCTGTCTTTCCTCCTATGAAATGCAGCTTATCCACCACTTTCCGCAACCTTGTTCCAAAATCGTAGTTGACCAGCTCGTTTACATTGACACCTCCTTCTTGCCCTAGTACCTTCAACTTGCCCATCCCGTGGTACTTCTTGAGTCCGTTGATGATGGCTTCGTAGTATGGTTCCACCGCCTTTTTCTCCAGTGGCATCTTCAACACATGGAACTCTGCCAATGCTTTAGCAACATCCGCTCGGATGACCGTATCCTCGACATCCCCCGGTTCCATATTACGTGCATCAAGGAACTCATCGATTCTCCCGAGCGTGCCATCCTGTGTCTTGAAGAATCCGTAGACTTTGGCTCCCAGGCCAGATCGGCCGTACTCGTGGCAAAATAGTGCTTCCTCATTCTTGCTCGGTACCAAATGCTTGAAAGCTTCGAGATCGCTCCCAGTGCCGTTATGAAATTTGATGAACACTTTCAAGGGCTCAGCAGATGTCCCAGTGGCCGGCTTCGGTCGTTCTACGGACAGTGGGCGTTGGCAAACGATGCATGGTACGACATGGTCAGGGACTCTGGGTCCACGGATGGCCATTCCTCTGTCAGGAATGAGCCGATAATATCTTTGACGTCTTTTTTCGTAGGAACTTTGTCTTTGGGAAGAAACACGGGAACAGCTGTCAAGGTGACCATCTTGGTTTGATGTGTGGAATGGTGTTTGGGATATTGAGGTGATAACTGAACAAACAACTGTAATAAAATATATGCTAGCAGTGGAATGATCCATTAGGGATATTTACAGTTTTAAGTGACAGCGCTGCGTCTCAATTATAAGAATTACTGGTCCAGCCCTGAAGGCTTTGGATCTGTGATCCACAGGAAGGGCATCGGGGTCTTAAAATTGTCTAGCCTCGAATTGGGCCCCAGCATCTGGGTTCTACTTCCTTGTATTATGTGCAAGTGCAACCTTTTAACCCTGGAAAAAGACATGCTGTTATTACCCAGACCTTTCCACTACTATACTGCCGCAGTCAATTACCTCGATATGAGCGCGATCGTTGGTAGCTCACACAATTATGGAATATCTGCTATTTCAAAGATATCTGCGATCTAACAATGTAACTGGGTCTGTAATGCTGAGTTTTACGGAGCATGATCGAGCTTAGTGGCGTTGTTGCCTGCATGGCATGCTATCAATATCAAAAGTCCCATGATGTTTCCTTGTCTAATGGTGGTCTCCCAGGAGTGTCAGAGCAGGCATGTCGAGTTGAAAGACTTTCGAGATTTCCTCTGCGTATCGATGTTTCGAGGACTGGCCGACCTTCAATGAGTGTGAGAGGGGCTTCCTAGAATGCCTCCGGATCGGGTGTCTGTCTTTCTGGGACAGATGACGAGTTCTCAGTCAGCATGCGAATATTTCATTGGTCTAGGTTATTTCACTCCTCTCCGCAGACGTAACTGATCAATATAGTCCTCGTCCTGTGTCTCGTTGACCCGAGCGTACCTTGTCCTCAACCGATTACTCCCGTACTGTGGGATGAAGACCGCATGGTACAGACAGTGACTGGCAGATTCGATATCTGTCCACTCTTGTCCTAGGTCCGCAGCGTCCTTTCCGAGTACTTAAAACAAGTTGCTTTGAGACTGAATGTTTACCGGGATAGGCCCGCCCTTTTCTTCTGGAATGACTGTCAACCGTCTCTATCTGGATTATGGCAGCGTCCATCAAAAGGAGACGGGTGTATTGGCCGATAATCTCCCCAGAACTGGAGCGAGTAAATCTATTTCCAGCGTCTCAGATCTCGCGAGCTGGGAGACACAGCGTGTGTTTAAGCTACGTCCACAATGTAATCGATACCAGTCGCCTTGTTGCTGAAGTTTGGAGAGTTGGCCATTTCATATACACCAGGGATCGTGTCTATCCTCGGATTCCTAAGGGATTAGAATGCTTGCCAGACGCTCCACAAATGCTACATCACGAATTTGACACGTACCCGGAGAAGATGCAATCTTGCCTCTATTCAGACAGACAACAACGACACAACAACACAGGATTAAGATCACTCCCATCAGGTAATGGTAGATCATGTTGATCCAAGAGATAAAGCACTCGCTCTGCAGTAACTCATGATCATGCAGGCAAAATGATCCTTTGTTGGATCACCTAGAGCAGCCGTGAAAAGGTGGACGACACTGCACACCATCATACACAACGCCGAGCCTTTCTGAAGCTATCCAGGCAGATTATGTCGTCTTTCATAGTGAATGATGATGAAAATTCTGCATGATCCAAATGTGCTCTTAGAGATTTCACTTTCTGCATAGCCTTCAGACTTCCGTTGCATTCACATATGCCACTGATCCTAGGACTATAAAGTCTCAACACTTCCTGCTCAATCTTCGCTCTCTATCAGAGGAGCCGACGTCTTCATGTCACTTGCGACCTGAAGGTAGTGCAAGATGGTCTTCTACGCCTACGCCAGCTCAGGGGTAAGCTCTCCAGGTCAAAATGCGGTGCTCGACTAACCAACGAAGGGCTTCGCTGTCTGGCTCATCACTGCCAAGGACAAGGACACCTTGGATGCCTGGTTCCGTGCCATGGAGACCTCACAGTTCGGAAACATCGCGCGAGTCAATGCCGAATGGTACCGGTACCAGAACTTCCGCATCGAGCATTCGACCACCGACCATCACCTCGCCCAGATATTTGACGGACTGATCCTCTTCAAACCCTTGTATGGCTACAATGATTCGTGGCACATGATAAATAACGGGCCTTTTGTGGATTGCTTTCACTACAACTGGTAGCCTCGTCCTTCTCTTCCTCATCGCAGGGTAGCTGACTTACTCTTCCTACAGGTACTACATCCGCTCCAAGAAATACAAATCTCTCTATTGGACCGTCAAACGCAAGACAGAGATGGAATCACTTCAGGTCTACGCCAGCACCAAATCCCGCGCCCGGTTCCAAGCCGTGAAAAGACTCAGCCCGAATTACGCGCCCTCTCCGGCAGATAACCTCATTCTCGGCGACGATCTTCTGTACCTTCAGCATGACTCCGGTTTAGTGTCGTTCATCCGGAACGCCAAGGGAGCCTTCATATTGACCATATCCGCTATTCCGTATCATTTCAGCATCAGCCAGCTTAGTAACAGTTTTGCTCCGCAGTTGGACGACCGCATTGCCTTTTTGGCGGGTTGTGGCGCTGAATGGGAGCTGGTGTATTAGCTGTCCTAGTTGTGTGGGATCTGGACTTCGTTGAAGGATTGGTAGAATACTGCAGATGCGATATTTGGGTACTACTACATCAGTGGTAACTTTCGGTCGTGCTACAATGAAGTGAAATCAGACAGCTAGCAGTCGGATCTGCACAAACAGGCGTTGCCATCATTGACATTGTCATCTAAATCTTCAACTTGTATTTGCTTATCATTCCTCATAACTCAATGACTTCTTTCCAGTCCAATCATCATCATAATATGTACATCCGCCACTGGATCCTCAACCCGAGCAGCCTGTTCACGTCCTCCCTCCCTGCACCTACGCACAAGAACATAAAGCATGCAATCAAGCTTCTTTCTGCTTCAGTCTTGGGTCTGGTCGTCAAGCTTCTCAGATTTTCCCTCCAGTTTGTCTGGGAACCTCCACACGCATTGTCTGTCCTAGTTCCTCTCTTGATCATGCAGGAATGTTGTGACCCGGACAGCGCTCCGATGAGTTTCTGCCGGGAGTCACGAGTAGACGATGTGAAGAAAGCAAGGTTTGTAGTGGGATGTGGATACTACTATCTGCCACTGTTCCTGTATGAGGGACAAGCAATTGATGCCTGAGGTATACTGGTGTGAATAGCTAATTACACCCTCTTTCTCAGTGATGTCCCCTGCAAAACCACTCTCGCAGCAACAAAGAACACCACACTAGCCACCATCATCGCCCCAGCAAAGGCTTGCAACCCCCAGTAAGTCCCATGCTGTCGATTCAGAATCGCCCCCGCAATTGGACTTCCGGTTAGCGTCGCAATGCTCATGCAGGTATACAGTACTCCCTGTCGTACACCCGTTTTGCTCATATCCGCCGTGATCTGACTGAGCAGCGCCGGAACCATGCCGACAAACGCTCCGGACGCGAACCCATACAGCAAGCTGAAGATCACATAGACGGCCGCAGAGCCAGGAGCCAACAGCGTTCCAGGAATCCAGAGGACGAGGATTGTCAGCGCAGAAAGCGTACACATGGCGATCATCACGTTGAACCGCCCGAGTTTATCTCCAAAGTAACCGGGCAGGATCCGACCAGGAAGACTATATTGTCAGCTTATATCTCAAACGTGCAGGTGCAGACTAACCTTGCGGCATTTAGAATCGTCAATAGATACTCCGCTAGACTCCGCCGAACCCCATCCTCCTGCGCTTCGAGTATCACATAGTTGATCGGCACAAACATCGCCCAGAAGCCACAGCAAGCCGCCAGCATCAACAGCACAAACGGCACCTCCGAGAACGGCCCGATGTAATCACTGAACTGCACCCGCCTCGGCACAGGCGCGATCCGCGAGCGGACAGTCATATTCGCGACAACCAGCAACGCTAGCACCACAAACGCCGAGATGCGCAGCGACCATCCGAATCCAACCCGCGGCAGCAGTCGCGACAACATCGCCGGGAAGACAACACCGCCTATCGACGACCCGCTCGACATGATCCCGAACGCGAGAGCGCGGCGCTTATCAAACCAGGTCGCTGTGCAGGCCGAAGCGGGATAGAAGACGAAGCTGGCGCCTAGGGGGCTGCAGATACCCTGCGCAAGGAGGAACTGATAGTACTCGCTCGAGACGGAGATCATCATGAGGCCAAAGACGTGCAGGAATGTGCCGATGAGGAGCATCCATTTGGGGCCGTAGTTGTCGAAGACGCGGCCGAGGACGATGCCAGCGGCAAAGAGGACGAATGGCTCGAGAGACAGGATCCACGAGATACTGGATGCCGAGTACTCGCGCAATTGATTATGTTGGTAGTAGTCTTGGAAGACACCGATCGCTATTTCGGTCAGAATTGGTCTCTGTCGGTGACACGGGCAAGCTCACCGTTCACCCACCCGAATCCACAAAACAGACAGCACCAGGCTCCTGCGACCACCGTCCAAGCATGGAGTCCATGGTCCATTGGTGCAGCTGACTGTTCTTTGGTTTCGTTCGCCGTTGCAGCCACATCGTGCTTCACTTCTGCAGCGGGGCCAAGTCCCTTCTCTAAGCCAGACACTCTCATCTCATCTTGAGAAGACATACTGGGCTGCAGATGGATATCCCACCCAGTTATTACAGAGGACAGAAGTCGTCTCAAAACATTTTGCAACACTTCAACGAGAGAAAATCTTATCTACCTTAACCTTTTTGGGTGTCCGCTCATGTGCCTTCATTTTTAGCTCGTATTCTTCTCCAATCAGCAGCGCACCAAAGCTGGTCTCACCGGTTGCGTTAGAACAGAAACTTCCCGGGGCGTCGGCTAACTGGTAGAGAGCTTTGTTGACTCGAGAATATATACTCCAGCGGTTCATCAGGTGTCGGTTCATCAATAGGGTAGTGTAATAGTGTTAATCAGAGTTTTATATTTGCTCATGCGGCTACTTCCTCAGTATAGCCTCTTGATTCGGCGATAGGAATGGTGATAACTTGATAAGATGACAATTTCAGAATATATATCTGACTAGTCTTGGCCACTTTATGATAAGGGAATTATATTGCAAAAGCACAACCCAAATTGATCAACGTCTACAACACCTTATCCAACCCCATAAGCCATGCGCTTGACAGAGAAGGATCGTAATTCCCCAGGATCGTATGACGGATCAATGATACGTGAGGATGTTTAAGCTAGTCCATAGTAGGAATAGTCAGTGGCATTGGGCCGAGGCACAAACGCAGTCAACAAACGCTCACTTACACTACTCTTCATTGAACTACGTCCTTGAAGCATTGAAAGCATCAGAAATAGGTATGAATATAGTGACTTGACCTCGAATACACTGAAAGCACACTACTGTTTCAAGGCATGTGATGTGTGAACTTGCCAACGACGCTTATCAGTCTAGTGTGGAGGCATGAGGGGGATCGTCGCGATGCATGATCATCCGCAGCTGAGCTTTCAAGGTCCTTGAAAGCAACTCTCTTGTCTTCACTCTTGTCTTTATAAAATCTCACTGTCCTTGATGTTATCTCTGCCCTGAGCAGGCATCATATATTATAAAAATGCAGCTGCGGGCTGTTCTGTTTCTTACTGGGACATTCCTGGCCTCAGTCGCCCAAGGTTTCGACATCTCTCCATTGGAACTGAAATTCCCGCTTCTCCATCACCTGCGACTGCTGGATGATGAAAGGAGTGCATCACTACACCTGACGTCTTCAAAGACATTTATAGAACACAATTTCTCGGTGCCTATTGACCATTTTCACAATGAATCTCGATATGAACCTCATACTCACGACCATTTCAACATCCGCTACTGGTTCGATGCCAGTCACTACAAAAAAGGGGGACCAGTGTTTCTCATTGCAGCCGGAGAGACGGACGGTACAGATCGCTTCCCGTTCCTGTCTCAGGGGATTGTGACCCAGTTAGCCAAGACCTATAACGGTTCTGGAGTTATCCTGGAACACCGCTATTATGGTCAGAGCTACCCGTTTGCCAATCTCACCACGAAGAATATCCGGTTCTTGTCGACTGAGCAAGCATTGGCGGATTACGCTTACTTCGCTTCCAACATTGTATTCCCCGGACTGGAGCACCTGAATCTGACTGCCGGGGCCGTGCCGTGGATTGGATATGGAGGCTCCTATGCCGGAGCTTTTGTGGCTTTTCTTCGCAAGGTCTACCCGGAGGTCTTCGTCGGGGTTGTTTCGTCGTCAGGAGCCACCGAGGCCATTGAGGATTATTGGCAATATTATGAGCCCATTCGCCAATTTGCACCATCCGACTGCGTGTGGAATATCGGGACTTTCATGGATATTGTGGATACAGTACTGATTGAGCATGCCCAGAACGAGACATTAAAATCGCATCTCAAGGCTGTTTTTGGCGCAAGTCCCTCAACTAGCGATGAGTTTTTCGTGTCGGCTCTCTCGAATATCCTTGGAGCCTTTCAAGGCCGGAACTGGGATCCTGCGGTCGGCGATGGCACTTTTCAGAGATATTGCAAGAATCTCACGAGTCCGGCATTGCTCTATCAGCAGAATAATACCATAAAGACGTGGACGGAGGAGCTCATCTCGGCCACAGAGTATGATGCAGCCAACTCTAGCTTGGTGACTGGGATGCTCAATTACGCTGGTTACGCGAACGCTACGATTTTCTCCCGTGTTGACCAGGCCCTCCGTACCTCCAATCCCAAGTCGCGACAGTCCCTCGAAAAATCATCAGGGGTTAGCTGGGGTTATCAGGTCTGCACCGAATGGGGATACTTTATGCCAGGCTCAAGCGTCCCAAAAGATCGACTGCCTCTTATCTCCCGTTTGATCACGCTTGCCGGGGTATCTCAATTCTGCAAGGACGACTACAACATCACCACGCCCCCTGATACCGATCGCATTGACAAACACGGAGGGTTCAACTTCTCCTATCCCCGGGCGGCCATTATCGATGGACTGGCCGATCCGTGGCGTGACGCGACGCCGCATGCGGACGGTGCTCCGCCAAGAAATTCAACGGACGAGGAGCCGTTTATCCTTGTAGACGTACCGGCTGAGGATGTCTGGGATGGGATTCGCGGTGCGGTACACCACTGGGATCAGAACGGCTTGTCCAAAGAAGACGAGCAGCAAGGGAAAACCGCACCAAAGGCCATAGTCGACCTTCACCAAGAAATTGTACGGTTTGTGGGGGTGTGGCTGGAGCAGTGGAGAAAACACGAGGATATCTCGGACCCTTCGGCGAACATGGCAGTTGGAGGACAGGCGGTACTAGACGGGAATTGACTCATTGAGTAGAGAGGTACTCAAGATTGAAGAGTGTAAGAAGATGATGACGATATCTGCCTAGTGATAGCGTGACATTGCAAGCTCCGTAGCATGTGTTTGACACCAGAAATCTCCACTGGGAGAAACTGTTTCACTGTGGACCGTTCAACTCTCTGGTGAAAGTGAATCAGAGAGATTGACACTGCTGATCCAAACCAATAGCATCGACAAGGCTGAAACTAGTTTGTCAATGTTGCAATTAATAGAGTCTGTCCATTGGACTGCGTGGGGCGCACACCTTTCCAGCAACGTTGATAGGCTTTCCACTGCCACCGATTGTAGATCCGCAGCTGAAAATAACTGAACCATCAATATTTCTGGACTACCATCTCCACATTTGCATTGGCATTCTGATGACAAACAGATGGTGGATGAATCAAGGGCGCTGGAATGGCGGAAGCCGATCTTAGTGCTCACTTCTCCGAACTCTGTACAGCCACGCCCGACATAGCAAAGACGGACATTGATCAACCCGGACCCTGGACCCTGGACAGCCGTGCACACGGGCACTAATTGGATATTAATTTCTATGTTTAGGGCGCTAAAGAAGGATATATTGGGAGTGTCTCACAAGCTACGACCGCGTCTCACTTTTCAACTACCTCGCAGCGGGGTTGCGTCCTTCCGCATTTGTCTTTATCGAGCTTACTCCGGCCGCTGATATATTCATCCACATGTGCCCGACACACTTTCAACACGCTCAGACGAGCTGAACTTTTGAATTGCGGTCGCGTTCGACATGAGGCCGTTGGAATTGAAGCTCAAGCCGGAATTCCGCCGTTTCGCATCAATGGCGCTGGCCGCCGTCCTGTTCTTCTGCACCCTGGTGCTCTTCTACGAAGTGATGCCGGCCTCCTGGGGCGTGTCTCTGCACGAGATGACCGGAAAACCCACGGCCGGCAGCCACGGTACCAATCCCGGGCCATCCGGGACCGGCTCGAGCGACGACTTCCAGCATACCGACCGGCGGTGCCACGCGCAGCCGGACCCAGGGAACATCCTGTTCATCGTGAAGACGGGCGCGACGGAGATCTACGAGAAGTTACCGACGCAGCTGCTGACGACGCTGGGCTGCGCGCGGGACTTTTTGATTTTCTCCGACCTCGAGGAGCAGATCGGCCCGTACCATATCCTCGATGCGCTGGCGGACTTCAACGCAACCATGAAAGCCACAGATGCCGACTTTGAGCTCTACCGGCAGCAACAAGCGTACCAGAGAGGCGGGCTGGACATTGCCACGCTCAAGAACGATGGCAAGGCCGCCTGGACGCTGGACAAGTACAAGTTCCTGCACATGGTGGAAATGACGTGGGCGCAGCGCCCGCACATGGACTGGTACGTCTTTATCGAGAGCGACACGTATGTCGTGTGGACGAATCTGCTGCTCTGGCTGCGGCAGTTTTCGCCGAACGAGACACTGTACATGGGTTCGGCGTCCTTTGTCGTGGACCAGGCGTTCGGGCACGGCGGGAGCGGGTATGTCATTTCGCGAGCGCTGATGGAGGCGTTTGTGGGGAAGAACCCGGGGATGGCGGGCCGGTACGATGATGTCTTTGCGAACGAGTGTTGTGGGGATTTCGTTCTGGGCCGCACCCTGAAGCAGGAGCTCAACGTGGGGATCCAAAATTTCTGGCCCCAGGTGAACGGCGAGAAACCGGTGACGCTGGAGTTCGGGTCGAAGCAGTGGTGCCAGCCCGTCGTCACGATGCATCACGTCATGCCGCGCGAGCGCAGTGCCATTTTCGATTTCGAGCAGGCGCGCGATGATGTAACGGTATGTCTCTGAGTCAGTTGATACAGCGCAGCACTAACAGATCTAGGTACCACTTCTCTTCCGGGAACTCTCCGAGCTGTCGTTTCCACCGGGGAGGATGCGCGTCGAGGAGGAAGACTGGGATAACCTCGCCGATGTGCCCGTGGAACTGGACAATCCATCGATGGAGGCCTGTCGAGATGAGTGCCTGAGTCACGACACCTGCTTCCAATGGCGGTACAGCGAGAAGGAGTGCCACGTATCGACAGAGTCGTTCCGACTGGGGACAAAACGCCTGCCCGAGGATCAGCGGCGGTGGTTCTCAGGATGGAACGTCCAGCGAATCCAAAAATGGCGGGATACGCATCCGTGCAAGAAGCCCGCGTGGGTGAAGCCACATTAATCCGTACATAAATAGCGTTGTAGCATATCATGATAACGAGATTCACTTCCATGTCTATGACTTGTACTGGTAACCGCATCTAGTCTATACCGTACGTATACGTATATGTATGCTAGCTCGTATGAAACCGCTTAATCCTCGCCATCCGCCTCACCGACCTCACATCCTCAACTCGCTCAAGACTATCATCCAACCGCTCATTCGGCAGCACAATCGCCCGATCCAGCTGATACGGTAAGCCCCGATGCCGCCCGCGAATCATCATCGCACAGATAACCAGCTTGCTGAAGACGGAGAACTGCCCGCAGAGGGAGGTATTCACGGTGGGATAGCCCAGACTCAGACCCACGTTTGCGCTATCACATCATTAGTACTGTCAGGATAGAAATTAGATAGGGAGAGGACATACTACGCAGACACAACCTCAAAGAAGATGGGGAAGACGGCGAACGACTGGGACCGTCTGTCAGCTTGCCTCAAAAACAGCAACGGGGAAGGCAGGGAGGGCTACCGGTTCCTGCGGGTCCATGACCCGATCCGACTCCGCGATACAGATACAAAAGATGCCTAAGAAGATATACCACAGGTCAAAGGTGAGCTGGTTGCGGATATGCGATAGGACATAGGAGCGGCCGTTTGATTCGTCGATGGTAGCTGCGTCGTCGGGGTAGATGCTTAGTGCTCGTTCCTCGTAGGTATTTGAGGCGCGGACGCTGATGGCGATGGGGTAGATGGCGATGTACATCATTACCAGCAGACTGAATTGGACGGCGGGGTTGACGTTGGCGAGGTTGAAGACTGCGGTGCCGGTGTGGCGGGCGGAGGCGGCCTGGTAGATGGCGGCGAGGACGCGGGGGCCTGCGGGGAGGACGGTGACGGTGGGGTTGTGGAGGTCGAGGACGATGATGAGGATGACGTCGACGAGGTTCATGGTGAAGAGGATGGCGAAGAGGACCCAGGTGGGCTTGCTGGGGAAGAGGAGGGTGTAGCAGCGGCGGGGGTGGTTGAGGAGGAAGGCGAGGGGTTCTTTCATGGAGGAGTGGCGCGGGCAGAGCTTGGACATGGCCCAGATGACGAAGCGCAGGAGACAGGGGTAGAGGGTGTTGCCGGCGTAGGCGAGGAAGCTCATGACGATCAGGGGGAAGGTTGCGTCCTGGAAGCTGATCATCGAATCGGGGGTGAGGGTGAAGCCGAGGTTGTCTATCATTGTTTGGGAGGAATAAAAGGCCCTACTCATGCTTAGCAATTGTAGGATAGAAGGTACACAGCGGACTCACCACCAGATGTTGCCTTGGCCACATTCGACAAGGTATTCGCGGTACTTGGGGTTTGCGTGCTGGATCCAACCGACCAGGCAGATTGCACCAAAGAGATGGAGCCCGAAGAAATACCCTGTTCGGTCAGAGATGTTCTGTGAAATGAAAAAGATGACTTACCAGTGACGATCTTGAGCAAGAGTTTCAAACTGCGGTATTCGATCCCTCCCAGCATCTCTCGATCCTCGTCGGTCAAGTTATGGAATTGCGAGTTCCGGCCGATAGTAGCACGGGATGACAGTTCAGGCAGGGCCAGCTGCTGCGAAAGGGACTGGTCGAGGGGCTCTGTCTGGGCCTTGGGGCCATGGCTGGGGGACGGGCCGAGGACAAACATCGTGGACGCAACTCGCTCCAGCGTGTTTGTCCGAGCCAGATTGAACCGCCGGCGAGAAGTGCCGGCCGTGATCTGAGCGTCAGTGGATTTGGTTCGCTCTGTGTCCGTCAGTTTGTTATAATCAGTATCCGGAGCTAGCCTACCACAGTCGCTCAGCGTATCGTCGACTTCCACGATGGGGTGTCCTCGATCCCGTTGCCAGGGAGGAGGAACGTATAGAGCTCTGTCCCGGCCAGAATCGTGCACAATGTCGGCAAAGGTGATGCTCGGAGATCGAAACCGGGAGTCTGGATTGCGCAAGGGCGGACTCTGCGACTCATTCGGGCAAGAGTCTTGTCTGAGCGCCATCAGTAGTATCCAGCATAACCAACGGACATTACTCACTTTTCTGTAGTTGTGGCGTCTGAAGTTATCGCCGTCTTCGAAGTACTGTCCCCTCCCGCTTCGGCGTCATCCTTCCGTCTTTGCCGGAGAAAGGCAGGGGCTGTATCACCAGATGAGCCCAATTGCTTAAAGGCACCAGATATGAATGCATACCAAGTTCCTTGAGACGCTTTTCGAACCAGCGCAGCCGTACAATCACCACGATGATGTTGATGAAACCAAGATTGCTGATAATGGGAGCCACATAGATGTAGACCTGTTGATACGTTTTCAAGCGATTGACATCAACACTAGGCCGCGTCAGTATCTCCCATCACCAAGGATCGAGCGACCAACGTGTTCAGCCCGGATTCTGTCGAGGCACTGGCCCCGAAGAAGAACGCGTCGATGGCTCGGAGGTTGCCATATGGGTAGATGATGACCAAACCGAGGATGCTCAGAGTGATAATGTACGCATCTGCAGTCGAGTAAGTTTTCAGCGTTCTCTTTGTTCAGGAAGTCTTTACTGACAATGCAAAGTGATGAAATTGAGGGAAGGCTTCCACATCACTGGGAACTTGCTCAACTGACGCACGCAACGAGGCAGCTGAAGAAGCACTTAGAGATGAAAGCAAGACGCAAAACAAGAGAAAATGCATGCTCTTTAAACCATGGGTCATTACACGTGGGGTGAACCATGTGTGCGTGTGGCGGTGCCTGAAGCTGTAATCCTGATAAACCTTAGCGTGCGGGATTTATCTGGGCCAATCCTTCAAGACTATCAAACATATTGGAAGATATTGCTCGTTTAGCACGACAAATCCCATGGTGCCCCTTATCATATAGGCAAATTATTTACCTAAGGCGAATTGTCTAATCTTGTACAACTAAAATATGCGATCTGCAAGCCCTATTCATAATGTCACACATATCACAAACGATCCGTCATCTAACCTCAACAGTCCACCTGTTCATCCCTCTGCCTCAATATCTTAATGGTAAACTCTACTGTAAACTGACCAGTTGGAAATCTCCAACCCGCGCTGTACTGACCGAGTCTCTTGACGCCCAGCACCACATCGCGGATGAAAAAGACCAGATGTAGAGTCCTAGACGACCATCAGCTTGCACCTAGAAACGATCGAACAACTCACATGATGGTGATCTCAAAGACAAGCCCCACGATTATCACCGCCTTGATCGCGTTCAAAAACCTGTCACATCTCGCCTCGAACCCTGGAGCTGGAAAACCCCGACCATAACCATCGCATTGTCTCCAGTTCGCAAGCTCAGGGGTGTCAAGAGCTGGATTGAGCGCGAAGAGGAATACGATCAACGCATCTAAGATGAGGTTGACAAAGAGCCATGCGCCAGTGTTTGGGACGGTTAGTTTGAAGATGCCGAACAGGCTGGCGGCCGCGCATAGGAAGCTCTGTACCCGTGTTAGGGATGAGATCGATCTGGTCGAGGGAAATGCATACCAGAGGGAGCAAGACTTCGATGGCAACTCTCATTCCCCAGGGGAGAAAGTCATAATAAGGGGAGAGTTTCACGACCAGGTAGACGGTGAGGCTGTACAAGAAGGTCAAGGCGGATATTATGACGGACGACCAGATGAGGATGGTGACAATTCTCGACGGGCATGTTGGTCGTGTTGTGGTAGTATCCTCGTCATTTTGTCCAGGAAGGAGAGGAGATGTTTCATCCATATTGAGCCTCAATGTGTTGATGCGTTGAAGAGGGATTCATGGGATGTGAGGCTTGGAGGGACAGGTTGTCAAGCTGATACAGTCTAACCAATGCTAGTTAATCACTCTAGGCAGAATCAACTGTTAGGCCTTTCGCAGCAATTAATAAGAATGTCATATCATTAGCCATAGTGCCAGCTAAGCCTCTGATAATACCCATTAAGATCATAGCTCCTATCATCCTCTAGCTAGCTATTCTAAATGCATGTGAATGCCATTTTTCCCCAATAATAAACTCTGAGGGGAACCAATAGCAAGAGTCACCAAATTTTAACCCAATCCTAACTTTGTATATTATTCCCATGCTTCTCTAAACTCAGAAAAGTAAGACATAAATTGTCCACAGATGCTTTCAGATGCTGTTTTTCATCTTTACCTTTAATAATGTTTGACGATGATGACAAGACTTGAATTCACAGTTGCTTAGGCCAGCACAGCTGAACATGGGCTCAGAACGGGCCCGAATTAGCAGTGACGAATAGTGTGATACATTGGTACGATATGCTGATGGACCAAGGAAATTGTCTACTTGGAATTCTAGTATACAAGTGCTTATATTAAAGTGAGCATCTGGTGGCTTCTAGAAGTGGATATCCTTTGGAACGAGTATTGGGACTACAGCGCTGGAGAAGTCGATATTATCACGACAGAGGACCAAATCATGGAGCTTGTAGTTACTTAGGAAGCACAATATTTGAAGCATCCTAACATCTATGCAGAGAGTGACATGAGCAAATACTGCGATGGTGTAAATGATGCCAGATTCTCAAGAATTCCGCCCTCCATTTCAGAGGAAGCATACAGAGACATAGCATGGCAATGAGCGTCTGCCCTCTTCCGATCAATTGAATCCGGTGCCATGAAATTCCTCATACCAACATTTGAAATAGCATTCGCTGTGCGTGACTACACAATAGTGTAAGAAGAATTCTGAATGTTGGATCCTTTGACCAGTTAGCCAGCAGTTCCCTATAAATCCAGAATATGCACACCTCTTTTATTCACAGGTATTATAGCTATTGAGAAGACATTGTTCCCTTCCTGTTTAATTGAGCAAAAGCCATGCTCTCCTCAATAGAAGTGAGTAGCGCACAAACTCACTCCCTTACCATCTCAAATCTATGTTTCTTGCTCCCAATTCACCGCTCTGCCGCCCTCTGCGAGCGCGGCGCAAAATACTGCAGAACATATTTCAGCAGATAGACTATAATGAAAATACCACCCAGGATAATAATGACATCGCTGCACCGACGGCGGGATGTCGCTTTGTCAAGTCCTTGGTAGTAGTAGCAGAAGAGATAGTATGCTATAGGGCCACTCGCGGCACAGATTCCGGATCTGATTCCATGTTATTTTCATTTCTTTCGCTGCGGTAATTGTAACGTAATTCCCAGGTGAGCCGGCCACCCTAGCGAGCCGGCCATCTCTGTATTCCATATAAAATGGCACTTGTTAAGGCTTAGATATCTCAACCATAGTCATATATGCTATTATCTAAGTAAGATATTTAGAATGTATATAGTCTGAAGTATATAAATACTCTTTCTTAGGATGCTAAAATATTGTTTCTCTGTCTTAATATCTAGAAGTTAAAATTACTAAAATTACAGGTGTATTTTATGTTAGCTACATGTATACATACACAAGGAGGCTATAGATTATAAGTATATGACTATAATATACCTCATGCCTAGATTTAGCCCCTGTAGATGCGTGGTTGTTGAGATATCAAAGCCTTGAAGGGTGTCATTTTATATGGAATACAGAGATGGCCGGCTCGCTAGGGTGGCCGGCTCACCTGGGAATTACGTTAAATGAAGGAGAACTTACATAACCATGATCTGGTCGACAAGGTCGTGTAGGCGCCAAAGGAGGGTCGTTGACTGGGCATTTTGTGGGGCTCTTGCTGCATATGTGGGATGAATTTTTGCTCCGGTTGTACTCATTTTGTAGCCTAGAGACAAATATTGCTGAATGAGAGCGTAGGAGCGGTCTTGGTCATGGGTAGTAGAATGTATTTAAGCAGTTCTCGCATTTTGGCCTCCACTTGGGCTGCCAAGATCATAACCCACGGGTATGCCTCCCGGCCGTTTGCCGGACAATAGGTAACTATATCAAGATAATGCAATTAAATTGATCCACTTTGTTAGTGACATCTCTATTTACTATCCCCACATACGTAGAAGGAATGCTATCTGGGCTGCAAGGCCTTGAGAGCACGAGTTAGTCTATAAGAGGAAAGGGGAGCAAACCCAAACTGCAGTCACCAAGGATCATGACCACTTAATGCATACTAAAGTGCCTAGTGCTATACTACTCTGATCATTGTTCCCCAAAGGCCCTGCGGTGAACCCTTGAGACAAGACTTTCTGTTATTCATTGCATTGATTGGCACCATGGCCTGCCTCGATCTTAGTAGGGTTACCTTTACTAAGTGGAACTGATGGTAAGACATATGGGGATTTCAACCTCATAATTTACTCGGCGTTTGCTTATGGACTCTTAATTCAGTTCTGATCAGGTAATAGATATTCCATCTATTTCCCTACTTTGTGTTTGCATATCAGGTGAGATGATATTAACAAGTCGACTACCCTTGATATGCGTGCTCTAGTAAAGTTATAATATATAAAGTTGCTGGCCATAGAGTAGAGCCACATCTACCACAAGCCAATGCTCCAGGCAGTTAGGCCAAAGAGTTCTATTACTGTCAAAGTCATAAAAAAGTAGTCGATACTAGTCCAGCTGGAGATCATCATATTACCCGATTTCCACTCTCAAATAGCAAGCGCTAAGTGGAATAAGAGTCGCCAATGGCGCAGGGAAAGCCCACATTGACTGAGACAGGCTACAGGGCGTCCAGTCGGATTTCATCATGCTTGATCAACGATCCACCCTCCTCAAGCTTATGCTCCACCAACTGCATAGGATCGATAGTCTGTGCGAGAAGGCCGAGATAGTACTATTGACGGAAAAGCTCCGAGTTTCTATGTCCGGTATGGTTAAGTATACCCTAATACCACCAATATCGCTAAGTATACTAGGTAATCTTGGAATATATGGTGTTTGGGGTGGTTATTTTACTAGCACAAGTTATCAAGAAACCTGCCGGCTTTCCGAAATCTATGATAACTATGGCTAAAGGGAGTATACCAAGGACTCCGTTATTCCACTAGCTAGTTCGCTACCAGACTGGACCGTATGAGGCCCTGGTTAGCGCGAGGTTGCAGGGTTGTATGTTTATGGGACAATGTATAGTGTTATAGTGTTGTTGAGCTGATATAAAAGAGATATAAAACATATCAATCTGTCTTCTCAGGGAAACTACCCAATAAATTCTTCCACCTTTGCTCAGTTTATCTCTCAATTCAAAGAAGTCCCTTTTCAACATGAAGGTCCAGTTGATTTTCCTTTCCCTGCTCTCCGTGAGCCACTGGTGTCTGGCTGCGCCTGCCATGAGTGATGATTTCTCTCTAGCCACTCTATCTCAGGATTTGAGTGATTACGAGCTTCGTTCCATAGCCATCCGAACCCCAAATGAAGCCCACACTGTGAGAATCAACATTAAAGAGGGACTTTGAAGCTTGCATATGTACGGAGTAGTGGATGATAGCCTAGGCATGTTGGAGATGATATATGCTCTGTATAAACCGATGCAGGTCACTTGTATTTCTAATATAGGCCTACCACGGCATCTTCGATTTAAATTATTACTGTCTATTCTAGCCATCGAAACCAACCAATACTGTGTCGAGAAGAGTCATTGGCTGATGTGGAGACTGTCAGATTTTAGTGTAGAACAGCCATAAGCTCTATATATTCTCCACCAGCCGCTTGGATCTGATATTATTATCTGATGGTGACAATCCTCCGTACCGACACTAAGAATCTTGTCCACATATCCACTGCTACGATAGGCTTTTATTGCATATTGTAACAGGCAGACAAAAAGAGCAAAAGGACTAAAAAGATGAATGCAAATCGAGGCGCCAAAATAGTCCTGCACTGGTAGATGCTTACTCCCAATACGCCCAAGATCAATGCTCACTCTGACCAGGCTGGAAAAATCCCGCGCCCAGCGCATCATGTGGCTCATGGAGGAACTGAATCTCTCCTACGACATCAAGACCTACAAACGCGGTGCCAACGGCATCGCTCCCCCCGAGCTGAAACAGATCCATCCGCTGGGGAAATCACCCATCGTCTCGATCCAATCCCCGGATGCCTCTCAGCCCATGGTTCTGGTCGAGTCGGCTGCCATCATGGAGTACTTCCTCGATCATTTCGGCGGGCCCAACACCAGACTCGTTCCCGAGCGCTATCAGCCCGGTCGCGAGGGCCAGTTAGGCGGCGAGACCGAGTCGTGGATGCGCTATCGATACTACATGCACTATGCAGAGGGGAGCCTCATGTCGCCGATCCAGGTGCAGCTGATTATGAATGGTATTTGTCCAGTTTCTTCCATCATGTGTATGCTGATGAAGCCAGCACTGAAAAATGCCCCCGTCCCCTTTTTCATTAAACCCATCACTGGGTTCATCACCGGCAAAGTCAGCGCCGAGTTCCTCGACCAAGAACTTCGCACCCATTTCCGCTTCCTCGAGGACCAGCTGGCGTCTGCGCCCGAGGAGGGGCCGTTTCTGTGTGGTTCGCAGCTGACAGCGGCGGATATCCAGATGAGCATCCCTGTTATTGCGGCGCTCAATCTGTCTATCATCCCGCGGACGGAGTATCCGCGGCTGGATGCTTATGCTGCGCAGATACAGAACTCGTCGGGTTACCGACGGGCGGTAGAGAAGGTGGAGAAGATTGAAGGGAAGCCTTTTGTGCCGATCTAACTGCGTAGATGTTAGGCACTGTTTGGACCAAAGCAACTGCAGAATTAGTTATGGCTAGAATGAATGTGTTTGATCTAGCTGGCCCCAGACCGGATGATCCAGGAGAAACCGCATGGCCCAGATACAGCCATAACCGCTGTGTAACTAGTAATGCATGAGAATACCCTGAACGCTGACGTGCCGTCTTCTGGAATAGTCCATGCATCGGACTATAATCCGCGTCAATGGAAGTCTACAGATGCGAATGAACATATGAAGGTCAAATAGACTCATATATTGAGCTAGGATTACAGAAGAAGAACCAGAATAAACTATGGTATTGTCGTGGTATACACCGAGCTCGTCATCGTCGCCACCCGGCAGTTAACACTCGTCTGCCACCCAAAGAGCATATCCGGATTATATCCAAGGCCAAGCCCTGTCTTGACACAACACGGCAGCGTCAAACCATCCCACCATCCCCCGGGCTCGGCGCCGCCGCATTCGTATATATACAGTTCGTATACTTGGTCGATAGCACATCAAGGTCCGAGAAGAAGGCGACGCTCTGCGGGATATCAGACCTGTCTTCGGCCGCGGCGAAGTCTTTCGGCGCCATCACACTATGCAAAACGGCGTTCAATGGACGTCGATTACACTCCGTCGCAGCCACAGCACTCGCAAGCAACTTATTCGAAAATGACCAACCACCTTCCAACAAGGACGAAGTCCAAGAGATCTCTGAAGTGCTTCCGGCCGGACGGGTCGCATATCATGAATTGTTTCATCTGTATTGGGGCTCAGTGATGAACAAGGGTGACGATGAGGAATACAACTTCCCGCGGATGGCCGGAAATAACCTCCGAAATAATGGCAAGATGTACACAAAAGTCCCTAGCCATGTAGAATCCAGAGACTTACGCTCTGACTACGTATGTACTACTACTCTTCTCGTACTATTGTGGTTATGTGCGCTAACAATGTTGTATGGTTGGCAGGGTCGCCTATGATTATACTCTGCATGTCACCCATACTACAAAGAGGGGACATACCCAGTCGAGTTCTACACAGGCTTTTGTGCGTATGAGGTGTGAAAATAACTGGACAGTTATATCCGGATAAGTAAAAGGTGGAGGTACGCCTTGGAGGAAGTCGCGCGTAATGAGTTAAATGCAAGACATGCTTGATTGACCGACTAAAATCATTCGTAGTCATCATCATCAATATATCGAAAGTTCTGCTTCCAGCGCTTAATATCCTCTTGACTCAGAAAGGTATACCATCGTCGGTAATACTCGACTGGATCGTCAAGGGCCTGGTGCGACCATAATCCTAGCTGCATCATCCGCCGCTCCTCCCAGAATGCGAATCCATAGCGAGCATAGGGGTGGAACCACATATACTTGGCCGGTCCGGCCGCGGGATTCCCACCCGTACTGTGCCAGAATTGGATACCGAGCGGTTCTTGGTCAAGGTCTTCCCACTCCGGGCCCCGCAGCGACTGCAGCCCATAATCACGAACCGGACGAGGCACATAGGGCTGCGGTGGGCCCCAGATATAATAATAATCTGGATTCGGGGTGTAGCCCACCATGCGGCAGCCCCGGATGCTTCTAGGGCCATCCTCGCTTGAATCAGAGCTCGAGTCCGAGCTTGATTCTTCGTCTTCGCTGTCCACAGTGGTGTTCCATTCATTGTCGTCAGACGATTCGTCCTCGGAGGGTGTCCCGTAGAAAAATCGAGCTCGTGGTCGCCTAGGTGGCTGTACAGCTTCACCTCTCAGGCCCGGACGAGGCTGAGACGGAGACTGGGTGCCGTGTTCAGGACTGGATCCTCCAATGGGATCTTGGCTAGGGTCTTGGGCTGCCTCTGGGCTCGTCTCATCGTCCCCTCTCTGCTGAGTGTGCCCTGATTGTGGTAGGGGGAACATCACAGCCAAATCATGCTCACAGTCTTCAAACGTCCGACCCTGGGTAATAGCTCTTGATGAAGGAGGAGGCTCGCAGAGCCAGTCAAACTCTACCCAGTCAAACTCACTGGGCGTGCTCGGCAGCGGAAAGGAATCTCGAGCCGGACTCTCGGAGAGGTCAGAGGAACTTTCCGCCGGTGAGATCTCAGCAATGAAACCCAAAGCTGCAAAAGCCTGGTAGACCGGAGAAATGTAATGATAATGATCATAGAGATTGCTCCCGGCTAGTCGTTGTAGTTCACCAGTGGACCACCTCAGAGATCCCTTTGCACCTTCAATCTTGAGTTGATTCCAGAATAGTAGGCGCCATAATGTAAGAACAGCCCGTTGCTCCTCTGTCCATGTGGGAAGCCTAAAGCTTGGGGGATACTGTCGTTGGCCTAATGGACTCTCAAGACATCGCTGGATCATTCGTTCGATACATAGATGTGCCAGGACATGGATATAGTGGGAGAGATAGACAAACTTGCGCAGCTGTGCCGACGATGCTATAATCCTATTTGCTGGTCGGATGTTACTGCTCATGAAATAATGGAGGGCGTCGCTATATTTTTCCCATTGAGAAAAAGTGCCCATGTGCATGGTGAGGATTCCTTGCATGACGATCTGAGTCTGGACAGGCACAGCTAAGAGCATGACTCCAGAAACAATGTCACATGCTCCATCATTAAACACAGATAACATCAGTTTCGATGTGCGCATAAGACTCCACACCGAGGAAAAATCGGCACACTGCTGGAAGATGGTTACTAAAAGCTCGCTGGGCAGCTGGGACAGCCGATCCAGGCTTGGGCCATGCGACTGGCGGGACATTCCCACTGATCAGCAGCTGTCTAGTGAAAAAAGATGGTAAGCCTCGGTGGATGAGCGGCTGAAAACGCTTGATTGTAGGAGGTTTTATTCAAGATTGGTGTCTGAGTCACTCCAAGGCGCCAACCACACGTGACATTCATACACAAGAGTCACAGAGCCTACTGCAAATATTCTCCCCTGCAAATGCAATATCTGCGGAATAAATTTGCAATCCATGATACAAGTTTCTCATAATATGCTCTGATTGCTGCCAAGAGGTTATCAAACAGAAGGCAGCCGGGTGCGCAAGCCCTCGAATAGCATGTTCTTCGTGGCTAACCTGCGAAAGCACGAGATGAGATGGGTGGAAAATATCCCTGTCTCTGGTTACATTGGGACGTGAGAGAGAGGCCATGCCAGCGCAGGGGTCCGGAAGACTCACTGTATGATTTAGTGAGAAAATGTGGATCAACTAGGTTTCACAGCCTCACAATCACTACCTCTTGGGACCAGCGGCAAATCACTGCTGCGCCAACAGGCTATAGAGTCCAAAATCTTTTCAAGACGGGCGATTTGGAAGTCAGCAATTAACTAGTATTCTTCTAGTCCATTTAGTACTGATACTGATGGTCTGTCTGGCGGGTGCCGAAGCCCGAACCCCGGGTGTCCAATCAAACTTTTAGTGCTTATTTCACTAGCAAATACCCTGCTGTCTTGCTTGGACCATCATAGTTAGCGCAGCCGAGGGTCTTAGCTGTCGCAGCAATCTACCTGACAACATAATGTTGTCCCCCTAGGTTCGCGATACTCAGTGTATAGCACTTAATTGGAGTCCAGCTATCCACAAATGTAAAGTCCAAGTTAGTATCAACGCAATAAAGCTAGCAAGGTCAGGATTCAGTCGAATTGTCTAAGGCGTGGAAAACCAGGGCACGAGGTTACATTCAGCTCTCAGCGTACGCCAATATCGACCGTCGTGTCCGAGGTGAAATGAGAATATGTCCTCCAATTTCATGGATATCTAGCTCGAGAACGGTACAAGGCAGCGTATGCCTCCAGAAGAAGTCACGTCCTGTTCAAAAAGGGCTGCTGCGACTCTGGAGAAACATATAAAGCCCCAACCATCCACACCACAGACTCCTCATCCATCAACATCACTCATATTCCCACATCCCTTCAGTCTTTCATCCTACTGCCAGCAGTTCTCTACTACACAATGAAGGCCACCACCGTCATCCTTGCCCTCATCAACACCGCCCTGGTGTTGGCTGCTCCTGCCTCCGAGTTGAACAGTACCGCTGCTCGTGGAGACAGCGGATGTTATGCTTAGTAAGGCCTATTCCTATTCTTGAAGGTGATTAGGAGACTAACATCTATGATCTGTGTAGCTCTGATCCCGATTGTGGTGTCACGGGTACTTTCTGCCAATGTGCTAATGGTGGACTCCTAGCGACCAGACGCCCTCTCTAGATAACTGACATGATATGGTCTTAGGAAAATCCTACCTCTTTAATCTGGCCACTAATAACTGCCAGCCTCCATGGAGCTACATTGGTCCCAAGTCTTCCCTTCCTGGATGGCACTGCTAGATGCCCAGAGGGGATTAATAGGGTCATGAGCTGGAATGACAATGTTCGACGGCCTGAAATATGACTGGTATGGGTTAAGTGTTGTGCATTAGGAATGTATATAGCAGTTAGCATGACTACACATCAACACTGTCTATAGATTCACCATCTAGCCTATCGGTGAAGTTAGCAGATAGTCCAAGAGAATGTCAGAGACTTACTTCTGTGGCAGCTTATTTAAGCTATCTTATAATCACGCAAGTATCCATGACTGACATATATAATACTCGGCTACCCCTAGCCCCCCTTGAAGTTAAGATTAGAAAATAATAGATTAGTAGATTAAATACAATGAGGAGTTAATGTAGGGATGGATGTTCCCTATGGAATTGCAGAATACAAACTCGCCCGTCAGGATAGCCAAGAGCAAGAGCTCGATCTTTGATAGCCGAGCAACTTGGCTGACGATACTCAAACGGGAGCCACAATACTTTTACACCTCCAAGGACCACCCAGTCCTCTACTAAGGATATCTGAGGGTTGTGCTCATCTGAAGCTGGGTGATGGTCACTATTGAAGGGCTGAATCCTAAAGGAGCCATTGTCAGTTTCCAAGTATGGTCCTTGCGTTGAGAACCTTATTGAACCGATTGCCATCTTTGCATGCAGAACTTCGCGCAGTGCTCCAGTCTTGGCATCCCAGAGCCTGATTGTTTCATCACAAGAGCCTGAGGCCAGTATCTGGCCGTCTGGAGAGAAGACCATAGTATTAACTAAATCTGAATGGCCCTGGGGCATCTGGGATTCTCTTCCAGACTTGGCATCCCAGAGCTGAACAGTTCCACCATTGGAGCCTGAGGCCACTATCTGACTGTCTGGTGAAAAGGCCACAGTGCTAACCCAATCTGAAGCCTGGAGCACCTGAAGGTCTTTTCCAGTCTTAGTATCCCAGAGCTGGATAGTTTCATCATGAGAGCCTGAGGCCAGTATCTGGCCATCTGGAGAGAAAACCATGTTACTTAAACTTGAATAGCCCCAGAGCCTCTGGAGTTCTCTTCCAGTCTTAGCATCCCAGAGCTGGATGGAGTCATCATTGAAGCCTGAGGCTACCATCTGGCCATCAGGAGAGAAGGCCACAGTTTTAAGCCGACCTGAATGGCCCCGAAGTGTCTGATACTGTCTTCCAGTCTTAACATCCCAGAGCCGAATGGAGTCATCAGAGCCTGAGGCTACCATCTGGCCATCTGGAGAGAAGACTACTGTTTTAACCCGCCCTGAATGGCCCCGGAGTGTTTGGTACTGTCTTCCAGTCTTGACATCCCAGAGCTGAATAGTTTTATCATCAGAGCCTGAGGCCACTATTTGGCTGTCTGGAGAGAAGGCCACAGTGTTAACCCAATCTGAATGGCCCTGGAGCTTCTGGAGCTCTCTTCCAGTCTTGGCTTCCCAGAGCCGAATGGATTCATCATAGGAGACTGATGCCACTATCTGGCCGTCTGGGGAGAAGGCCATAGTGTCCTTTATACCTATATAGTGCTGGGGCGTCTGCAGTTCTTTTCCAGACTTAGTATCCCAGATCTGAATGGTTCCATCAAGGGAGCCTGAGGCCACTATCTGGCCGTCCGGAGAGAAGGCCACATTAGTAACTGATTCTGTATGGCCATGGAGCATCTGGAGTTCTTTTCCAGTCTTAGCATCCCAGAGCCTAACAGTTTGATCCCTGGAGCCCGAGGCCACTATCTGGCCGTCTGGAGAGAAGACTACAGTGTTAACCCGATTGGAATGGCCCTCGAGCGTCTGCAAAAGTGCGCTCCATGATTGCTTTGTTGTTGGCAAGGCAGCCATCAACCTGAGAGGTTTTTCTTCAAATTCTTTTCTAATTACTGACCCTTCAGGCGCAAACGCAATTCCGGAATAATAAAGCTGTAGTGGGGCAGAACTAGCAATTTGCATATTTCTGAGGATGAATTGCTGTGCATCATGTAAAAGCTCTGAAAGGTTTGAATCTGATTTCTAGATTTTCCCACGTTAATATCTGTATAGTGTAACACTCTGGCATAATCAGGACTTACCATTAGCACTGCCATTAATGTATTTAAGATACCAACAGTCTCGAGCACCATCCCCATTATGCTCATAGTTTCCAGCCAATGAAGGAGGTGCTTCTCCAGAAAACCACACACTTCATCATTAACAGGCTCATCGCTCTGCTTCAAATGATATACCCAATGGCAACATGAGTATTGCAGATGTTCCGGAAGGCACTGATCAATAGTCTCATCATTGATATCCTTGCGTCCTGCTGCATAGCTCGGTAAACCGCAGATATTCTGCTTGAGGAAGTTGTCCATGATGCGTAGACATCGTACAAGTATTTTCTGGTGTATCTCACGCTTCTCCACTCGGAGGGCAGTTTCGGTGTTGAGGAGAAAAGATCGGAAATGTAAATGAAGAAACTGAAGTATCTCATCAGGATCAGTTGGCATGTTGAAAATTGTGCGAAGTGAATCAAGTGATTGTAGTTGATCAATAATATGATGTGGGGAGATGTCAAGGAAGCGTGCCAGCGCATCAACCGAGAGCGGGCTGTGAAGAAGAACAACAACTCCAACTATATCCCGGAACTTTTGTATATCCTGCACTTTGGACTCTAGACCAGTCTCCTCAAGCAGAAGCCCTACCACCGGTTCGTGGCCATTCTCAGCCGCCCATAAGAGCGGCGTTCGACCATATTGGCTATCCTTGCACTCCACATCCGCATCCTTCTCAAGCAGCAGCTTCACCACTGCTTTGTGGCCGTTCTCGGCCGCCCATGAGAGCAGTGTCCGACCGTATTGGCTATCCTTGGACTCCACGTCCGCATCTTTCTCCAGTAGGAGCTTCACCACCGGCTCATGTCCTTCTTTTGCAGCTGAAAGTAGAAGCTCTTTTTGCATATCATCCGTGGACAGAATCTGGGTTTCTTGCTTCATCAGAAGCGTTACTATTCCAGTAGACTCACTACAAATGGCATAAAAAATTGGCGTCCCGCCAATGTCGTCCGTCGTGTTAACTGTAGCTCCTGCTTTGAGTAACAGGCTGACTGCCTCCACATGCCCATTCAAGACAGCCCACGAAAGTGGAGTCCGGTTGTGCTTATCTCCTGAATCAACATGAGTCCTCTTCTTCAAGAGCTTTTTCAAGGACCTTTTCGTCAAGAGTTTCACGATAGCACTATGGCCATTTCCCGCTGCCCAAGATAGGGCCGATCGGCCGTGCACATCGTCTTTGGCGTCCAGATCAATTCCACCCTTTTTGACCAAGTGTTCAACAATAGGAGTAAGGCCGAAATATGATGCAACCATAAGAGTAGAGAAACCAGTGGGAAAGTCTATGTTCATAGAAGACCAATAAATCCGGAACCAGACTTTGCAGCGAGCTGTACTTGCATCACAAATCATAAGCAGGGATTGTAACATGGCATCAGTCTTGAGATCTGACTCCAAAAGATGAGCTGTCCAGTATCTAGCAGTGTAGTCAAAAAAGACGTAGCTGTCGGTGAGTCTGCGTATATCACCTGTAAGTATTTGGGCCTTCTCAAACTCGGTGAAGAGTAAGAGTTGGATACAGATCATTGCGAGGATACTGTGCGATTCTTGCAACCTTAAGGAATGCCTCCATTTAAATCTTCTTTCAACAGCACCAGGTTTCTTCTCGAGAGTATCTTGAAGCAAAAATTCCCTTGCCGTTTGGTGAAGTAGATAAATTTTGGAATCTATAATGGTGACAAAGAGTCCGCATAGGCCTTGCATGATTTCGCGAAAACGGTCGTCTGGTCCGAGAGCGAGGTCGGCATAAGATTGGTGACCCTTTCTCAGGACCAGGGCGAGGTTCATCTCCTGCAGGTTCAATGGTCGCGCTGCTCCAACCACAATATGAAGTAATTTCTTGGCTTTTTGAGAATCTGTGCTCCTTGATAGGATTTGCTCATAAGCCTCATCAACGGACTGTGGGAGGTTTGAGGTAACCTCCACTATCCCTCTTTTGTCAATGTCGTCCTTGTTCTCAATTAAGTTCAAGGTCAGATAGACCCAGAGATATGTTCTGTTGGGAACACGAGTAAGATTTTGAAGCAAGAGATTCTGCTCATCTTCTGTGAGCCGTAGTCGAGCCTTTACTTCCTTGACCCTTGCTTCAATAAAAATAACAATCTCTTGGGAAATCTTCTCCATCTCGACATCACTTTCGCCACTAAGATGAATGATAGGCTGTCCAGGTATGTCAAGAGGCTGAAAGCCCCGCCGGATACGACCATAGGGGCGACTAGTAATCAGGAATTTCAGAGTGAAATTATGCCGAGTCTCATCTGTATAAAGCCTGCGCAAGGCTTCCGTAAATTGGGACCATCCATGTTGTTCACATTCATCTAAGGCGTCCAAAAGGCATATAATTTCTCCAGCATGCTTTTCTTTCGCGGAACTGATAAGGATGCTCCAAAGTTCACTGAACGAGTTGGTAATCCTTTCATTCATTTCAAATTGCTCGATGAGGGTTTCGGTAAGCAGGTCACGATTCTGGCTAAAGAGCTGGTGAAGGATGCAACATAGCGCATTTGTGATACTTTTTTGTTCTTCAAAGTCATCTTTAAAGAAGAAGTATCCAACTGTTTGAGACACGCCTTTTGAGAGAATGGAATCTGCGAGGTATTTGGCAAGTACAGACTTTCCACATCCAGGATTTGCGGAGATCCAAAGCATTCGTGATGTCTGGCTTGCTTGCCAGTCTTGAAAGATTGTATGGTTAACAAACCACTGGCAAGTCCCTGGTATTCGATCAGGATTACGGTCCTTTTGATCTCGATATGGCGACACATTAAGCTTCTTCAGGATATCCATCTGCCTTGCTTTTAATCTTTCATTCAGCTGAACCTTTGCATCATATCTCGGGCTGTCATTCTCTTGATGAGGGACAACTGTCAAGAGCAGCTGAGAATAAGCAGCGGCAGCCAGGGCTGCGTACCCTTGCCATTCTTTGTTCTTGTGAGAATCACAGTAATCGCAGATACCTCGGATCACCAAACAATGGAGCTGATCCATAAGTCCAGCCGCCTCCATTTCAAAGCAGAGAATATTCGATGCTTCGGCAATAGAGTCTCGCGTCTTAGCGTCCTTCATGACTTGGTTTCCAGATGCGATTAAACCGTAATGAATTTGAAGCTTGTGAGATGTTCGTAATGCGCGTTTCACTAATCGGCTCTGGTCACACACCGAGCAATCAGGGTTATTGTTGGGATGCACATAATCTGCGCTGAAAAGCCAGTCTCTCTCAGGTCGGGAGAATTCTTTTTTCAATTGTTCATACGTGTTTAGCGTATTGGAAATAGTCTCTTCAACATCTGTCTCTCTGAGCATGTGATCACTGCGTATTTGAGACACAGCGTTTAGCAATACTTGCGGGGGCTTGTTGAGGCAGCCGGTGCGCTGAAGGCGTCCATCAGGCAGTGTCTTCCCGTAATCATACTGTATCACGCCACTGGAAGTATTGGACGGTGTACTAACTACCACATCCCCAAGGCGAACATCGGTGCTTGTGCTGGGTACGCCACCTCCGATACCCACCATCAAGGCAAATTTTAGGGAGGGAAATGTTGAGTGCATCTTAGCTACAACCGCCGTAGCAGATGTTGTCCCATAGACGCCAGACGGTAGGCAGGCAATAACTATATTATGGCCACTCATTGAGCCAAGTGTATAGGCATTGGGATCAGTCGGCGGTTGAGGAAGGGATTCATGTGTCTCCTTGAGCATGACCTTTGCAGCTGTCATCTCCAGCGGCAATGCGCAAACCCAGGCAACAGCGTAGTCATTATGAGAGAGTCTCGTGGCCCCCATTTTCTGACCACGACATCAAAGAATAATTAAACAAGGAAATTTGACGTGGTGTTGAATATGTGAAAGCTAGGGTTCCCATGTGTAAGATATTGGGATTTGAGGTGTGAAGACACTCATATTTAAGCGGGGTCAGCGCAAGGCTGCCAGTGAATGAGCTAGCGGCTGAGCGACCAGGATATAGCCACTTGTTGTGATGAATTGACAAATCATATTCTTTGAGGTTGTCGTTCTGCCCATGCAGCCCCAGCCTTATATTTACAGAGTACGGCTTGTCCGCTCTTCTTGCTAGAAAAGGCAAGGAGGCCGTGGGACCTTGCAGACCTTGGAGTTAAAACGGCCCGAGTCGCACATGGCAGTCATGGTCGCAAAGCAGCTTTATTGTGAATCCTGCCAGGGATTGAGGTAAGCCTGCCTGTTCTAGGGACTATCCAAGTTCTGGGCTGTCTGATGCCTGCTTCCTGGCTTAGCATATTAATTGATTGGTTGAGAGCTAAACCCAACTTCATGCAACGATTCTTGTTATTTAGCTATTTGTATTCTTCATTTTTCAAGTGATTTATTGTTCCATCAACTTGTTCCGCAATATTACTTTATGTGAAAGAGCTCCCTTCTCTTACTATAAATGATGTCTCCTTTTTGCAATAGCTGTAGGGCAGCATAACAACAGAGAAGCTTGCGGAGGGTTATTGCTACACTACAAAGATGTATTAGACCTAAAGATACTCCTTAAGGAGAGAGATTTGCTTTTGATCATCCCGTGTGATGAATCAAGCAAGTGGAAGGCTCCCTCGCGGGGGATTTTACCACAAAACCCAGTGCTCTCCGGCTGCGAGTCCCATAGCGAAGTTGTACACGGGAGATGACTCGAGGAGGCAAAGGGCGTACCCGACATGACCAATATATAGCTGCCATGGTGGCCTGACTGGAATTGCGCCGATAGAAGTCTCCGGGAAAGGAATCCACCGCTTACATATAGTCACCGGTACGCGTAATCTGTTTGCCATACATCGGCCCCGGGCGTTGCAACCATCAATAATGCATGCATACTCCGGAGTAGATATGCAGGATGAAGAATAACATAGCGATCTGGGACAATCGATCAGTATTTCATAGAGCCATATGTGATTTTGAACGGATTCCAATAGCGAGAGGCCGTATTTTGACCCCAACAGCAAAACCCGGCGCGAGGCACTTGCAGAGGAGGAATGTGGATCACCCTAGGCTGGCTGCTTCACTACCCAATAAATGTGTCATCATATAAGCACAAGACTGATTGAGAAGGCTCAAAGGACATCTCATATGCAGCGGACAGATGGAGCAGAGTCTCCTGGTGTATAAGCCCTATAGTAGTATTCCTTTCCATTCGGGACTTGCTTAGAGACGGTATGAGCGGAAAAATATCCCTGGTTTTCATTGTCAAGGGACCTAAGAGCTTGACCACTGCTTAACCTGGGCTCTACTCCCATTTAGGAGATCACTAAGATATATGATGTGAAACCCGGTAAACTGTAATAACATCACGTGTCCAAAACAAGGCAGTTTCTGGGTCGTCTGCTTATGAAACACAATGTGATGCGAATGTCAAAAGGAGAATTTTGCCTACTTATATTTGTTCTACAATGTTCAGACAGGGATGGAAATATTAGTATTGCCATCGGCGAGAGAAGAGGTGATAGTCATTTCGGCAAACATCAATTTTTCTAAAGTGTTGGGATACAGTCCAGGCTGATTGACTCATTCTGTTCACAGGGTGGTTGGCCGCTATTATAGGCTCTGTTGCAGATCTCGTGGGCCAGTAAGTTCCAATTCAAAGGCCAACGTGGCGGCACATGGACAGCTAAGCGCCGCTAATCCATAAGGCATTACACAAGTAGCATGCCGGCCACAATAAGGGTGACAAGGGCGAGAAAGGGTTCGTATGCGAGGCTGATCGCACCCGCACCAGTCTGAGACGGCACAGCAGCGCTTGCAGTGGCCGATGGACTTGGCGAACTTGCGTTGGCCATGCTCAGTGTGTACACTTCAATTCCGGCCTTTGACAGTGGAACGACGACCTGGTTTGTCACGGGATCCACGGCCACGGAATGAGCGGTGACATTGTCCGTTGTCAACGTTTGGAGGAGGGCGTTCGTCCTTGCATCAACTATTGCAAGCTGTGGCATTGGGCTACCTGACTTGTTAGCCCCAGCCAGATTCTGATAGGCCGAAGCGTAATAAAACAATGCGCTGGGATCATATGCGACTTGGTCAATGCCAGCGACACCTGAAATATTGCCGATGACCTTGCCGGTGGAGATGTCAAGGACCAGACTGTATGCGACTCCATAAGTAAGGATCTGATCCTGGCTACAACCGACAAATAGGTTCTGGTTCGGTCCAAAAACAATGCCAGCTGGGACACATTCGGTTACTGGAATCACTTTGGTGATGTTCATAGCCGAGACATCGAGCTCAGCAATTTCACCGCCGGGGTTTGCATCAGTACTGGGAACAGAAACATAGAATTTTCCGTTGACGGAATTGAAAGCCGGCTGCTCGAGACCGGTTGCATTATTGAAAACAATCTTGCCGGTCACATTCCGGTTCTTGGCTGAGATGATGGTAACGAATGGGGGTTTATCATTTGGGTTCGTGACGACAATAGTTTGTGTTGTGGGATCGTAGGCAAACTCGTCTGCTCTTTTCTGGGAGCCAGTGACGATACTCGCGACAATAGTATGGTTCATGAGATTGACCACTTTGACGCTGCCGTCCCCGTCCCCAACATAGAGCTCGTTGCGGTTGGGCAAGACGACCAGACCGTCAGGTCCAGATACCGAAGTGTCGGATTTGTTATTGGTCGTTACTAGACCCTTGAAACCAGTAATCGCCGTGGTCTCTTTGCGGGAAGCCAGATCAATGACATGTACAGCCTTGTTGGTCCGGTCAGCCAGGTAGTACGTCCCATTATAGACGACACTTTGATCGACACTGGTTGCATTCTTCGGACTCCACGGGATTGTGGACGCGAGCTGATAGGAGAGCCCGGTCACAAAAGCCACATTGGAGAAAAGAAGGAGAGGAGAATTGAACCTCATGTTTGAAACGGGGAAAAGCTGTTTGATAGAGGATGAATAAACCGAGGACCCGGGGTGGACATGAAAGTCTGGACTTGTACAATTCCGATTCTATATTCCAGCTTTCTGGAATCTGGGGTAGTTTTATATACCTGGATTCCAAGATACATGGTCGACTCCTTTCTCCGGTCGTGTACCTTATCCTGTTAGATTGTATGTCATAAATTGACGCTTGACGGAATGAAGGTACAGTGCATATTACTGGTCAACTCCATTTCAGAAGAACAATCTTCCGCTTCCTAGCGCAAATTATTTACTTCTATGGGGTACACGAGCCGTGTATGAGGGCAAAAATGACGATCAGATGCGGGTCCACAGAATGCTTAGATGTGCGATCTCCGAATATCGCCAGTTTAGTAGCGACTACTACTCTGTAGGTACTGCATACTCCCTACTGAAGTCACTGCACAGGCCGCTTACCCCGCATATCATCCCCAGATAATGGACATCCACGGTTACTACTAGTCCGGAGCGGAGAGGTTCCGTAACCTAGGTATAATTACAAGTAACCTTGTGGATCTTAGCGTGTCCTTATTAGGAGGCAGTATAATATTTAAACACCCCAAGGAATATGTTTTGTTATCTAGAAAAATAGATTTTAAGCTGACAAGTATTAATTATTATAAAGTTTTGTTGAAAATACACAGGAATTGGTAGTGTGGTTAATCCCTAGTAAGTAGCCAGCCAGCTACGCTCAGCGAACTGCCAGCAAAAAGAACTTGTTCTCCACTTGAGCTGCTGAACGTGTCTAAATGACAGGTTGCGGAACCTCTTACTATGAAATGCATTAAGCTCTGGTTCCAATATCTCTAATGTCTTGATTCTTCAATCCAGGAATTACAACTCGGTAAAGCTTCTGCACGGCCCTCTACCCCGCCTGGCAGTGCGGACTTGCCCGGGATGACAATAAGGTAGAGTTTACGGATTCTTTGCGCGCATTAGATCAAGCTTTGTGGAGATGGGAGGCTGTCGGACTTCTCCCGAGTTGAATTTTATTTTTTAAGCCAATAAAACGCACTTTTTGAGAAAATAAGTGGACTGCGCCGCTATATCTCAGACCTGAAGCTAAAGAAGTATACTCTGTATTAGTTGATTAGGGTTTATGAGAATGTCTGCGGGGTATATATTTTCAATTTTTCATTCCGAAATTCGGAGAGGATGATGCTGGAAATTTCTAGGAGAGTCTCTGATAATTTGTCTGACGGCTCCAGCAGTAGCTCCGGCTATCTAGGGTCATGCCTGGAGACCCTCTTGCGCTTCGAGCATCTCACTGAAGGCAATCGAGTTGTATGTTTCGGCTTTCTCGACCATCGTTCTTGGAGAGACCTCAAGCTTCTTTCCGGGAAAGGTTTTGGGAAAATGTATCTGCAACTTTAGGCCAACGTAGTCCTTGCTGCACTAGATTCCTTAGAAGGCTGTCTTCCGCTTTTAACCATGGCTAGGCTTTGCATGGTAAAAGACGGTGTATGTTAGGATCATACACCAGCTGTGACGAAGCTTCGACTCGAGCCATAGCTCTTGTTCGAGATCTCGTGGCTGTTCTGACACTGTCTGTAAGGGCTATGTTGTCGCGAGCCTTTTCACGCACCTGCTGCACTGAACTATTTCTACTTGCAGAGGATTGTATTTTTATAAAAAGCTGCTGGGGGTATTTGGCGATGTTGGACAGCTGTGGTTCAGCTAGCTGCTCTTGTGCTTGGAGAGTCTTGGAGAGAGAGTAAGACAAAGCTTAGCAAGATTAAGCCTAGCGCTAGACAGGTACGATGCAGTCTTAATTTACATCCCTCCAACCAAAGTTAACATATTGATCATGTCAGCGCCCTCTTGATTTTAGGGGTTCAGATTGGTAATCTTGTAGGTGCTACAGTGGCTTGGGCATTTACCTAAACATTTATAGCTCCTAACAGGGACTTTTTAGCTCATGTCCTTACTCTGCTGCTTACACCTTTTATAAATCTCTATGACTTACTGCAAAGTGCTATTTAATAGAACTAAAAGCATGATGTAACAATGTGCTTTTAGCAGACCATAGGATTGGCCATGTACTATAGACTTTAAACCATCCGCCATGAGGCGCAGATGGCTGCTGCCCCAACCGCAAAGGATTCCATTGTAAGTGAGTCCAGGGTCCAAAATGGCGACAAGGTACTCTACATCCAGCGCGCATCAGGTTATTATGATTAATGGAACTACCAGATCATATCTAAGAACTAATGATACCTGTCAATCATGTTGCTACACTTAGGGCTAAAGCTAAATTAGTGTACAGGCAGACACCAAGATGGTTCACCATACCCCTATTAGTAATATCCCTACCCACATTTCTGTCTTTTTGTCCTTTTCCTTCCCTTCTCTAGGTAGTGCTGTCGTGTCAATTTGCAAGTGATGAAGTTCCGTTCCTCGCGGTAACAACTATCTCTTGTTGCTCCTAGCTACATAGCAAGATATGCAGAGACGGGCCGATGTCTCAGCACTTATCCCTATCGTCTGCGACAGCGCACTGACTTGACAGACGACCTGGCAACAGCTTTCGATGACCTGCTGGGTATCATCAACCACCTGCCAAGCGCTCGTCGCAGCCCAAGGGGTGCTTCAGGAGCTGGAATGTTCTCATCCTTTTCGCCACAGGCCGACTCCGATCGTGAGGCCCTGGACGAACCGAGCAGTGCTTGAAGCTGCGATAGCTTCCGCGATGCCTTTGAGGTTCTCCCCTCAGCAGAATCACATGGCTTGGTATAGAAGCCCTTTCTCAACAGGTAGATTTCAGATTTGGCCGCAGGAAATAGTCGGAACCACGTCAGGAGATCGAAAGAGAGAACAAATAAATTATCTCTTTACTAACTTTTTGGAGTCTGTCCGGGACGTTCTGGGTGCTGTCCAGAGAAGTCATATCTTTGTTAACCATGACTCCTACTTTGCGGCGTACTTTGGCGGGTGAACAAAGAACAACGAACAAAGAATGGCCCAGATTTGTCTTATGCATCACAGCGCCACAACCCTTCTGCTAGCAGACTATGCTGATTGGTACACGTACGACAAAGGGGAAAATCCCCCTGGCTTTCAAGTCAACTCTAAGGTACTTATCACCAGTCAACCGGGGTACTTGAGGAAATGAAGGCGTGTGTCTCCTTGATTATCTCTTCCCTAACAGTCAACTTGGACGACATCACTATAGATCTTCCTGAAGCTGTTTTCTGATAGATATGAGATTCGGGCAGGATTTTCACCGTTACCAGGTCCCGGAATGGGCGTCTTCATATATTCCCTATGTCTCTCTGAAAAGTATGTTCAATACAGCCGTCAGGAAAGCGATGCATCAGGGATCCCAGCCGGATTTCACGGGTGAGTTAAGAATCGTCCCCGATTATTGCCCTCTCATTTCTCATAATCCTTCAGAGACGCTCGTGTCCCTGGAACGCGGCATTGATACTATGAGCGATTTCCATGACGACAAATATCAGTCCTTGCTAAACAGAGAAGATGGAATACGCAAGAAATTTGGCCTGACGCTTGAAAGGGGCGAACTGTTGATGGGCGAGCCTCTGGGCTGCTGCCAGCTGGAAGAGCTTCTCAGTGCTACAGTCGAACTCGGCGAAGATTTCCAGAAGCTTCAGTGGTACTTTAGGGTGAATACAGAAGCCATCAATAGGGTATATTCCAAACTCGATCGGTGCGGCGGATTGTCCGGGCAATTACACCAGCACAGATCGAGGTGGCTTGAAAGGAAAGCTGATCGGGACGCCCGACGCGCAAGAGATGCTGCGATCTTGAGAAATCTGAGGGCAGAAATCTTTCGCTCCCTGGCCTTCACGGACGCTCGTCTTACGGAAGATGCAGCAAAGCCCACCCAACAGTGTGTGATCCCCGATCTGCTGCGTTGCATCATGGAGGATCAGTCTTCAGAATTGAGCGCCTTGCTTCAGACGCTTTCTTTGGATTTTGGAGCACAGAGTCCACGCTGCCGAGAGCTCGTCTATGACATGGCGGAGCTTTCTCTGACCTACGGCTCCAAAGCGTCAGCGACTTTCCTCCTGTCAGAAGCGTTCCAGAAATTTGGTGTTGAGATAGACAACGGTATCCTGATCCATATGATCCGTCTTTTGGGCAGAAGTGGCACCTTGAGAAGATATAATGAAGTGGAGATTCCCTCTCCTTGCGGTCATAAGAAGCGTCGTAATGAGGCGGTGACCAGCTGCTTCTTGCACACTGTTCAACAGGTTGGTGAGCAGCAGAAAGACGCACTCCTGGCCAAAGACGTCATTGGACGCAATTGTCTTCACTATGGTGCACTATATGGTCTGCAAATCATCTGCCAATCAATCCTGCAGCCTGGCCTCCTTCGGGATATAAATTACGCCCGACGCTTGATCGTGTCGGTAGACTCCCAGGGATATACACCTTTACACTACGCAGTGATAAACAATCACACAGCTATTACAGATATGTTTCTGACTGCTCTTGAGCTCGAAAGAAAAACTAGCAGCGAAAAGACGACCAACGACTTGGTTACTTTACTGGACGAACTTCTATTTGTCGCTATTAGATACCAGTTTAGAGACATAATCTACCTACTTGGCAAGCGACACTCCGGCCGTGACACGCAATCTCCTGAAGCCGAGACTGTCCTGTATGTGGCTGTCCGAACTGGGAATGACAGGGTCGTCGATTTTCTTCTGAGAACCGGCTGGGCTAAGTATATCGACGCTCCCGAGACCGCCCGGGGATGGACGCCACTGTTCATTGCATGTGCACAAGGCCACCAAGCAGTGACAAAGCTTCTTTTGCAGGCCGGAGCGAGACAAGACATAGTCGACCATATTGGATGGACTGCCAAAGAACACGCCGCGCTCAGAGGTCACCTTATCGTGGCCGAAATGCTGGATTCATGGAGGACGCTCAATCTCCTTGGCCGTTTACCTAGCATGCACATGAAACCTGTGTCTGGAGCACAAGCCCATCTTTCCCCTCACTGCAGTCATGTCATAATCAACCTAGGTGCGACACAGAAAGGTAATCTGGCCAAGGCGATCGTGCTAAACCCCAATTCGGAAGGGTACATTAGCACGAGCGACTCCCTTGCTCTTGAAGTGACGGTCTCTGGAGGAAATAATACGAGTCGAGTGGTAGAACTGCCCGTCTTGAATGATATGGTCAATGAACCATTTGTTTTTGCCGTTTCTGATCCCGACAAGACTTGGCTAGCCTTCAGGTTGTATTGCACTGGTTCTCTCCACCCAGGCGGACGAGACCTCCTGGGAAGCGGCATAGCCTTATTGAAAAGCCTCAGCGATTGTTTTGGGGAGGACAGGGAGAGCCTGATCAGGCAGCGTACAATACCCATACTTGAAAAGAACACACTAGTTCTTTTGGGGACCATCACTTTTACCTTTCTCATAGCCACCCCGATGGCTCCGCTGAATAGCTCAACAGCTCGGGGCACCCCTACGTTCACGACAAGCAGCCTCCAACTTGTTGGCCACAGAGGTATCAGTTCGCTTCGTTCCCCGTGTCAAGCAATTGCTGACAAATTGAGAAGGACTCGGTCAGAATACCGCTAACCGCAGCCATCTTCAGCTTGGGGAGAATACAATGGAGGTACGTGATAGTGCTACCTCTTGACAAGTCAGATTTGGCTAACGTAAAGTCCAGTCATTTTGCTTAGCTGCAAAGCAAGGCGCCAGTTATGTAGAGTTCGGTAAATCCAATCACTGGAGCGCTCTTGTCTTGCGTACTAAGTTTGAACAGATGTGCAGCTGACAAGGGATCTGGTCCCCGTTCTTTATCATGACTTTTCTCTGAGTGAATCGGGGACGGATATCCCTGTTCATGATTTAACTGTCGAACAGGTCAGTACCCTCAGAGTAGATGAAGCTAAACTCACATATCTAGTTTATGTATGTAAGCAAGCTCCAGTCGCCGCGGACCACAGCAGTATCCACTCTAGATGCACGAGAGCCACATCGGGCTAGGAATCCTCATACTCGCTCTTGGTCCTTGACCGAAGAGGATGGACCACGGACTCAAGAGATCCATGACAGGCTGAAGCACACTGTTGACTTTCGAAATAAGGGCTTCAAGCCGAATACCCGCGGCGACTGCATCCAGGATACTTTTGCCACGCTGGAAGATGTGCTCACAAAACTGCCCGAGTCGATTGGTCTGAACGTGGAAATAAGTAAGCTAACTCCAACCTAACCAAGTTTCCCACCGAACGAGCTAATTGGCATGGTAGAATATCCGAGAATCCATGAGGCGGCAGACGCCGGAGTCGCGCCGCTCGCCATAGAGATCAATACCTTTGTGGATAAGGTTCTGGAAACAATCTTCCTCCACGCACGGAGTCCCCAAAACATAATTCTCTCCTCTTTTACTCCCGAAATTTGCATTCTGTTGGCATTCAAGCAACGCGTGTATCCAGTGATGTTCATTACCAATGCCGGCAAGCCTCCTGTGATGGATTTGGAAACAAGGGCGTCCAGTTTACAGTCTGCTGTTCGTTTTGCGAAGCGGTGGAGCTTGTCTGGCATTGTCTTTGCCTCAGAGACCCTCATCAGCTGCCCCAGACTCATCAGATATGTTAAGGGATCCGGCTTGGCCTGTGGGTCGTACGGACTGCAGAACAACGTCCCAGAGAATGTGACAGTAAGCCCGGCCCCTTCTCTGTCCAGGAGAGCGTATAATGTATTGACTTTGTTGAAAGGCGCAAGCAGCTGCTGGCATTGACATCCTAATAGCTGACCGAGTTGGACTGGTCTCAGCAGCCTTGAGGGACGGGGCCTATCTCTAGAGATTTCAGCCTTGCTATGTCCACTACCTGACAATCTTCTCACATCTCAACTCTAGGAAAGTACCTCATGAGTGAATACCTAGGCTACAAATATAGGGACAGGGTTACTCATACTGAGCCCATCGTCACGGAAATGACCTGGGATACACAGGTATAGGCGACAGTGTACCTGAGTACATTGGTCCCCAGTCATTATAATGTCAACTTTCTCCAGCACTGTAGTCCCAATACTCGTTCTAAAGGATATCTCCTGCTAGAAGCCACCAGATGCTCACTACTGTAATATAAGCACCTGTACACTAGAAATTCCAAGTAGTTGGACTGGTCCAGCAGCCTTGAGGGACGGAGGCTATCTCTAGAAATTTCGGCCTTGCTATATCCACCAGCCAACAAGCCATCTCACATTTAGACGCCAGAAACATAGACATGAGTAAAGTCCTAGGTTAGAACACGAATCTGTCCGTAACTGTCCACAGTAAAGGGGCTTACAGGCAATGAGATTTTTGCACGCCAGAACGGTTCATATCAAGGGAGACCTATTCACTACTATAGAGGTAATATCCCAACGCCACTACCGGGATCAACGTCGGGCTCCCCATGCAATGCCCGGGGAGATGTTCATAAAACTTCGATAATTTTCCGGCACTTCTGAAGACGCCGTAGCCTGCTCGATTATCTACGTAAATATCACTTGCTGTAGAAGGAGATATGGTGCATTCCAAACTAAATACGGATCAGGCGGTATCTTCGAATATTATGGTTCACTCGTATCGAGCCAATCGTCGTGGAAAAGGCCCGGGAATACACAAGTTCAATAAGTCCGGCGTCAATGTACAGGCGACAGTGTATTTGACTACATCATAAGAGGTCGTCTCAGTCTCATTAAGCGGCGAGAAATTATGGAAGATTGAGCGGTTCTATTGGACAAGTTCGCGCCTGTCACATGTCCAGCTCCAAAATTCAGTCAGATTTTGCGCCCTTGAGACTCTGCTAACATGTGTCTGTCAATAACGTCGCCTTAAATTCAAAATGCGACGTTTCGAGCGAATATACGACGTCGTTGAGCCCGTTGAGGAATATCGTCGAGGAGGCTACCATCCTGTGCACCTTCACGACGTTTTCAATCAGAGGTACGAGGTTATCGGAAAGCTGGCCTTTGGCCAATTTTTCAACAGTATGGCTTGCACACGATCAATTGTGAGTGCCTATCTCAGCAGACAGTCTTTCCCGGAAGACAACTAACTGCTACATTAAGGCTCCAGCGACAGGTTGCATTGAAGATATTAAAAGCAGAAGCCTCCGAGAACAACAAAGAGCTTGCTATACTTCTTCGTTTATCAGACCCAGGCCTACATCATCCTGGTAAAGGGCATGTCATTGAGCTGTTGGATTACTTTGAGCATCATGGCCCAAATGGGACACACCTGTGTCTTGTTCTCCCTGCAATGGTTTCTGATGCCGCAGCAATGACTGTCAATGGAAGACCGCACCAAGCAGCTGATATACGATCTATTTCTGAACAAATCCTGTTGGGTCTTGACTTCCTTCATACACTAGGCGTCATCCACTGCGGTAAGTCATTGCTCTAGCCATAGATATTCAGTAGTCTCCTGACAATAATGCAGACCTACAACCCGCGAACGTTCTCTTTTCAACTGTTGGAGTTGCGAACAGTGAAATACGCTTACAGCCTCCAGAGTTCAGTCCTATTAGGTGGCTAGAAGGAACAACAGCCGATGATAGCGCGCCTCAGTATCTGATGCCCACACAGAGACGTCGAGGCCAACTGGATGATGCAGATTTCTCCAAGCTCATGGTTAAAATCGGTGACCTCGGCGGAGGTATGATGCACCCATTGTCATTTCAGATTTGAATATGTTTAATAACTCACATCACTAGCTGTCTGTGGTCGGCACAGCAATCAGAAGCCAGTAACACCGACAGCCTTGCGCGCACCTGAGCTAATCCGCAGAAACACTTGGGATGCCGGCATTGATATATGGACATTGGGCTGCCTGGTATGCCTCCCTAAAGCTTTCAACTCGCTTCTCTCTGACCTTTTCAAAAGATATTTGAGTTAGCAACGAATGAGCCGCTGTTTCCATTGGGAACCTTTGGCCTCACGGCAGAAGAGGTTGACCAAGAGCACATCAACCTCATTAGCCAGCTACTTGGCGAAAACGACCATTTGCATGAGAGTTTCACAAAGTATCTGATGGACAGGTTGCCATCAGACTTTGGTGCTGAGAACATTCAGCGTCTTGCATCCTTCCTTTGGTTGATGCTACGGCCCGACCCTCAGAAGCGAATTTCGACTACCAAGTTACTCAATCACCCATTTCTAATTGACACATCCTAGGATATCATGGTGTCTCCTTGCTGTAATGACTGATGACTACGCGGTAAATGAGGACCAAGTACTATCACAGTCATGCCCATGCTCATGGGTCAATGACTTAAGGAAGTAAAATACTGCTGCTGGATTTGTCGTCACCTGACTTGTACAAACTCTCCTAACCATTCTCTTGCGACTTGCTGAAGCCATCATGGTGTGTTGTTCTGTTGATAGTTGACATCAAAAGGTTAGAGCTCAAGCACCAGCTTTATTCGAGGCATTGTGATGGATATCGACAATTCCATTCACTATATGATGTCGCTAGTAAGGTCTCATCTCTGTCCATCTTCTACCAAGCGGCAGGTACAGCTTATAGAATGACCACCTGAACCACCACTCATACTCTTGTCATATACATGAACTGCTATTTAGATACACCAAATCAGGTGTCTGGCTACTCATTGTGAAGTCTCACCCTTGGAACCATCAACCAGGAAACTCCCGTGGCCCCTAGCAATCCCACCAGAATCGGCTGCAAGACTTTGACGCCAGCATGAGCTGCCAGAATCCCAGTGACGGCTGGAAAGATCGATCCTCCCACCTGGCCGAGTACGAACACAAGAGCTTTTGGTCATTCGGTTAGCGAGCCTCTATATAGGTAATAAATGTACATACCGAGTGCAGATGAACGGATCTCTGCCGAGAAGATCTTGGACGCAACAGATATGCCCGTGGCGAAAAAGGGACCGGAAAAGAATCCAAAAAGACTGATGGCTACTGCTTCCGTGATGATATTTGGCACCCTATCCGATCAGCAAATGCCATCTCGTAGGAAGGAACACGTACAGCCAGAATATCAGCTGCAGTCCAACACACAACACTACGTAAATGAAGATCATGCGTCGCTCCCCCAAGCGGTAGGTTGGTTCGGCTAGAAGGAGTCGACCGAGGAAGGCCCCTCCATAAAATCCAGCAGGGACATAGCCCATATCCTTGAGATCTCCGTCTCGCACATCGACGAGGTACTCCACGATCCACCCTATCCAATCAGTATTGTCTCAGACACAGGGAACATCACATACCACCAGCAGTAATGGCAGCGCCTAGGAAGAAGAAGAAATACAGACTCAGCAACCACACACTAGGCGTGCAAACAGTCCGCCGCATCTCCTGTAGACCCCCCTTCCTCGTCTCCGGAGAAGATTCACCAAACCGCTGCGTCATTTTCAACGAATTCCTAAATGCAACTACCACTAGAACCAGGTTGATCACCCCTAGTCCCAACGGTGCAACATAGAACAGGTTCCACTTGGAATGCACACCCGCCGAAGCCACGGCAGTGGAGACAAACGGACCCACCAGACATCCGGCCATGTACATGGCATGAATAAACCCCAGCCATCTATGCGCCGCTTTGACAGATGCAACAAATGTGTTGGCGTGTGTATCTTGATATGCCTGGCCAAGGCTCGCAAAGAAGAAAGTCACTGCGAACAATGGAAAAGGAGGAAGCCAGGTCCGCAAGGCGTGGGCGAGAACTTGAAGAACCGCCCCTAGGACCAGGAGGACACCTAAATCAAGGTACTGGCAGAGATGGCTGTTGGAGAGCGCGGCGAGAAGCCAGCCGCAGAATGTCGTGCCATATCTGTCTACTGTTATTGAAGAAATCTGGAGAAGAGGCAAGGACGTACACTACAGCGACGAGGTGTGTGTCAATATGATACCCTTGGCGGATATAAGGGATCAGAGATCCAAGACTGCCATCGTTGACGCCGGCTACAAAGAATGAGAAACCGGCACTGATGAGTTTGAGGTAGAGTCTGGGAATTTGTTGATGAGGTGTCTCTACTTCAAGTGGCTCCATGGTATGAAGTTGAAGGCGTAAGCATCTTCTTAAGTTCTCTCTCACTAGAAGACCCACCACGCTATATATGCCTGTCTATGCTCAAATAGGTAGGTGGCCCAACTACACAGGACTTGCCCAATCCGGTAAACCAGCCAACTGGACACATCATGAAAATCACCAGTGGAGCATTAACTATCTCATCAAGCAAAACGGTCCGAGACAACTCATTTGCTTATTTCTGGTACTTCTTCAATTAAACCTATTTAGGAATAGTGATGTGCCTCGACTGCAACTGTTTTGACGTCAGTATGAGTAAACCCTGTACCATCTACAGGCATGCTGAGAGATTACATACAGACTTTAAGAATACAGATATCTCTTTAGAAGAGCCATGGCGTTCAGTACATCAGGCTTAGATGCTCTTGTGCGTCGTCCGGAGCAGGAGAGCATCTGGAGACGCTTGCTGAGGGCCCCAGCGCCTGTAATTGCGGAACTTGTTTACAGCCGATTCGCTCAGACGCCCACGTCCATGCCCACTGCTTCATCCATCCGCGTGGTTTGCATCTCAGACACTCACAACACCCAGCCTCAACTGCCGGACGGAGATCTCCTCATCCACGCAGGTGATCTTACCCAGTCCGGGACTCAAGCAGAGCTAGAATTACAGATCGAATGGCTCGATCGCCAGCCCCATCGCTTCAAGGTAGCGATCGCGGGCAATCATGAACTCTATCTGGGTCCCAACGCTCAAGGTCAAGCCCCTGGTCGCAATGAGCCTGTCGATTGGAAATCGATCCGGTATCTGGAGAACTCATCGACAATGCTTGAATTTGGGGGTTGCAGACGCGTCAAGGTGTTTGGTTCCCCGTACACCCCGCGACACGGGAACTGGGCTTTTCAGTATCCACGTAATGAGAATATCTGGGATGAGATACGCATCCCGGATGACATTGATATCTTGATTACGCACGGCCCCCCGAAGACACATTTAGATCTGGGACGATATGGCTGTAGATTCCTTCGGGACTGGTTATGGTCGGTAAAACGAAAACCTTTACTGCATGTATTCGGTCATATCCATGGGGCTTATGGGAAGGAGACTCTGTACTGGGACGATTTTCAACGAGCGTACGAGAGCATCATGGACGACAACGCAAAATGGATACATCTGATCATGTTACTGTGGCGTGCACTTCTACTGCTTATACGCCCGAGAGATCCATGTGGAAGGACTGTTATGGTTAATGCCGCTGCAGTTGGGGGACTTCGCGATGAAAAGAGACGGCACGCTATTTGCATTGACATCTAACCATCAACATCAGCAATAAACGCTACAGCTAGCTCTCGTCAACAGAATCCGGCCAATAATACACCCCCTGATCCAGCGCCCTCTTCAGTCTCGGATTTACCCTGACATACCCCGCCTTCTTCAACCCCGCAAAAACCCCCTCGATCAACTCGGCCACCATTCCTCCGAACACGATACTGCCCTCCACATTCAGATGCGTCCGATCATCCGGATTGAGGTTATACGTGTACGCCTTCTCCGGCCCAATGCTATTCAGATACCGCGTACTCGCATCATTCAGATCGATGTACGCCGCATGCGAATTCCTCGCTGCCGCCATAGTCGCCGCTCGCTGGTCCGCCAGACTCAGGGTGATAGTCGGCTCGCCGGTGACATTGGAAGTCTCATAGTTCCGGCGTGAAAGCGGGGTCACCAGGATGGGCGTTGCGCCTGCATCGTGCGCCTCGTAGACGAATCGCTCGAGGTTGCTGGTGTACTCGGCGAGGGAGATGTTGGCGGCGGATTTCTGGTCGTTGTGGCCGAACTGGATGGTCACGTAGGGCACATAGCGGTCCTTGTACTCGGCTACTTTGCTGAGGACCGTCGCCCAGTCCCCTCCAGCGCGGAAGCTGACGGTCGTGGCGCCGTTGTGGCCATAGTTGAGACCGCTGGCGCCGTTGAAGAGGGTGGTGTTGAGGAATCCGTCTCCCCAGCCGCCGCCGTTGGAGGACTGTTTGGCTGTTGTGCTGTCGCCGGCTAAGAGGAAGAAGGGTGGTTTGGGAGAGTGGCCGGGGGTCGGCAGGGCGTAGAGGGGGAGTATGAAGAATGAAAGCAGAGGAAGACGCATTGTTATCTGTGTGGAAGATACTGGTAGATGAATGTCATTTTGCGTGGACTGCACAGCATCTTATACTGGAGTCTGGGATGTGACTCGGGATAATACCAATGTAACTGCAGTGTTTTCCACCAACAGGAGAATTAGAGTCAATTTGAAGTCCAGCTGTCATGCTGCCGTCCATCATGCAACATTCGAGCCGTAAGCGATACTGGGAACTGAACGATTCCGCAAATGAACGTTGATCTTTCTCGGTGGTTGACAGTCCGGGGCACATATATTGTCACAGAGGGTATTGGATGCAAACCTCACTGTCTCTAGAGTCCGCTGAAGGTTACCAGCTCCTTGCTTCCAAACAGCAGAAGTCAATCTTCAATCCCCTCATATACTCCTCCGTCTCCCTTTCATCCATCCCTAGCAACTCAATCCAACATCAAACGGCCAAGATCCATTCGACCTCCCCTGGATATTACCTACCAAGGGCAGTGACGGGGCAGTTTACAGCGGTTACGTTGGTCAAGGCCAGTATGATTCCTTCCGGGGTTCTCGATGCGCAGTTGCCTTTGGGAAAGACAAATCCACCCTCTATCTGCAGACCCGATTTGGAGCGGTGGATGTAGAAACACGTACTTTTCTGGAACATCTTCAGGCAATGGAGTCTTTCACGCATGTGACAGCCTACCCATTCATCTGAGAACGATGACTAAAGAGCTTTACTATAGCTTTTGGCCTTCGCTCTTATCTGTACTTTCTAAGATATATCTTCTTACGTAGTTCCTCGTTGAAACATATATATCTATATGAGGTCTAACGGGACATCTCTGCAGGGTCATCCTATTCGTCATCTACTGCAATACGTTCATAAAGTATCACATTAACATTCGACTGCTATGTACAACAAATACATGGGTATGGACACAAAGCATAATCAAGGCGAGTCCCATCATGTCTTCAAGATTCCCTTTTCTTTTCCTTCTGTCTTTTGGCCGTGGAAACAATACTAGCTGAACCGGGGTATCTCTGTTCCATCACGTTGCCCTCGTAAATTCCATGAAAAAACATATCGGGTATGAAATGACTCGCCTGTTCACGGTGGTAGGCAAGAACAGCAGTACGGCGTGGGGGCAATTTCAATCATGATGGAGATGGGAGACTGCGTATGCCGAATAGCAGCACAGTGGTATGAAAAAGATAACGCAATAGGAAAGAATCAAATCATACATGCCCAAGTCGTCAATAAGTCATCATAAATATTCGACAATCGAGCTAGCCTCTAGCTCAGTCGAAGGTCAACAGCGTAATCGACGCAGTTGGCCAAAGTGGTCTCAACGGGAGAGCGCCCATCGACTCATGCGTGCAGCCAACAGCGGCTGGAGATGATCTCATCATCGACTCGTGATAGCGCCTCTAAATCCCGTCATCCGCCAGCCGACCATTTGTTCTATCATGCCGGTTTTATCATATACACATCGAATCTTCGCCGAACGTCCACAAGCAACAGCAGACAGCGACCGCAATAATCATTAGCAATTCACTCGAATTGCCGAGTTCTCAGCTCGCTCTTTCAACCGCATAGCTTGTGCTTCGAGAGACCGTGCCATCAGCTTCGTCACTGATACGATGTTAGCCATGTGAAACAAAAGTCATTAACGGGCTCAACAAACCTGGCCAGACTGCAGCTCTATCAAGGAGGCTTGCTGTCGCGATCAAGATCTTGCAGCCATAACCCCCTTCAACGACACTAGGCAGCCGTTGCAGAACGCTCAGCGTGGACACGGTAGTGTTGGTCTGCACGTCCCGCTGCATTTTGCTCTCCACACTTGAGAGGATCTCCCTGATCTTTTCCAAAAGCTTGCAGTCTTCTTCTTCGAGTAGCATGACGTTCATGGCATGAGTGAGATCAACATCGTCACGCCCAAGCACACCCAAGTAGGGACCAACCCGTTCTTGAACGGTCGTGATCCATTCCGCCAGTACTTGCGCACAGTCAAAAGCACACATGGCGGACTGCAGAGGTAGTTCCCTGCAGGTGAATTCGGCAAACGTATTCCCGAGTCGGTCAGACATGGTGATTGAATCGGCAGCATAGAAGGCACCCTTGCGCAAGTGCTTCTCGCGTTTGGATTGTCCTGGCCGGTAGACTCCCATCAAGATCTGCATGGGTTGCTCCCGAGTCGGGGTCTTGGAGATAGCGAGATCCCCGACACCTAAATCGGCCACCGAATCGCGACGATGATCTAACTCACTTGGCACCTGAGTGATCGAGGGGTCCAAAACGTCCGAAGGAATGTCGTCCGAATACGGGAACACTTCGGTGCCGCGGGCCAACTCGTCCGACATGGCAATCCAGTCTCTCTGCCAGAAAGCCTCCTTGCTCCGTCCAAGATTTACAAACAGCCTGATGTAGGCCAGATCCAACAGTGGTATGCTATCGGCCGAGAGAGGGCCTGCTCCAAACGGATTGGGCCGCTCCAGGCTATGCATAGGGTTGCTGGCCCACGCAGTCTGCCACGCCCGCAACGCTGGCTCAATGTGCGCTTGCATGGCGTCTGTCTCGCGAGCGGTCCATTGCCGCCCCATGTGGCGTTGCCGTGTCTCCCAAATGTAGTTATGAAGAGCATAAATGAGGACGAGGCACCCAAAGGTACTAGGCTTCAGATCAGTGGCGGTAGAATCCGACGCTGAAACACCGTTTGTTGGATCGTTTGAGGACGACTGCGCGTGAGACTGCTCGCGCTGACTGGCTGTCAGGAGCGTAGTCAATGCAGACGAGAATGTCAGACCCTTCTTCGCCGACAAATGCCCACCCATTTTCTTCCAGGCTTGAGGGGACTCGGCTGCCCAAATATCCTCCTCACACGGTAGGTCAAGGCGGATTTCTGAGTTGGTAAGCGCCGGGGCGTGGTTATAGGCCGAGACGAGGAAGCAGGAGAGGGTGAAAATCGCATAGAGTGTCCGCTTGCGCTCCTCGACTATCTTCCAATCCAACCAGTCTTTTCTCTCTTTCGGCGGCCCGAATGACGCGGTATTGGAGTCTTCTGATTCAGAACTCGCACCTCTGGTACCCGCTTTACCACTCAAATGGGCGTTCAGGTAGTCCTGGGGAAGGTCTTTGGCATCGATATGATGGGTCAACCCAGCAGCGCGAGCGAGGCTGACCAGAGCAGCACAGTGGGTGCTTGCGATGTCCGCCGACGTCTTATCGCCGGAGGAATGTCCGTAGATTACGTTGAGTAGCATCGCCTGGACCAGCCACAGCGGCGTGTTGTGAACCGAATTCTCGCGGGCAGGATTGGAGCGCGAAAATGCAGCGGACATGTCAGCTTTTCGACGCTCTTCGAGATATAGTTGGATCATCTTCTTCGCCGCTTCGAAAAGATCTTTGGAGGCGGCGGCGTCAAATTCGTAGAGAGCGCCGATGGCCGCCATGGAAAGGATCAGGCAGCCTCCGCCACCGGCGATACCGGTAGAGCTCAAATTCAGGTGGCCGCTGGGAGTACGAAGGTTGTTTGTGTATTCGGGAGCTTGGAAGTTGAGGGTCGGAATATGAAGGAACGGCATGTGGGGGTGGAAATAGGTGATGTAGGCCGAGATATACCGCTGCATGTCTTGAGTGCTGGGGAGTTGGCCGGTACCGTTGAAGTTGGCGGAACGTGAAAACAGGTCGCGGCAGGGTATCATTCCGCTGGCTGGCTGGGAATACTTGCGACGATTATGGAGACCCGTGGGCAAAGCCATGCTGGCTAATAATGCCTGTCGTGTGGAGTCTGTAAAGGTATCGGTTGAGGTTGGGGCATGGTGAGTTCGTAGGGCACTGTTCGTGAAAGGCAGGTTGAGAGGATTAGGAGATTCACCGTTTGTTGCCATAGAAGGTGAAAACATACTCTGGGAATGTCCCGCCATCAAGGGCTGGCCCACCGACGTCATGGAGGGGGGAGTAGCATAGGTCTCAGCAAACGGGTTCTGCGCCATCAATGACTTTGGTGACACGGTCTCGGGAGGGATGCCTAGATCGTTAAGGGTCGGAGAGGAGTAATCGATGGCGAACTGATTTGCTGGGCCCGCCGAGTGTGGCGGGAAAGGGTTATGCCAGCCGGAAGAAGAGATCGAGAACCGATTGGCTCCATCCATCACGGCTTCGCTGATTCCACTTTGGCTGCCAGTACTCATGGCGGAGGGAGATGACTCATCGATCGCGGAGTCGTTACTCTGACCCAAGGACGGCATGGACGGATCGAAACCGTTCATCCAGTCGAAGCTGAAGTCTTCCTCCAACATTGGATCAGTGGGAGGTTGCACCTGGTGAGAGCCATGACTGAAAGGGGACGACGGCGAGTCATTCCCGTAACCTTGCGGAGAACCACCAAAGTGGAGCTGCGCCGGATTAATGGTCGTGCCATGGTTCATGAAAATGTCCCCCATGCTCAAATCAAAGCTGCCGTACACAGGAGCGGTGCGAAGTCCGCCAGAAAGATCCATGGGCAGACCATGAGTTTCGAGCTTGGGAAGGCTGCTGGCATAGGGATGATTTGTGCTGTACCCGCGATGAAAATCGATATTCGAACCCACAGATATCGAACCCATGCTGGGATGATGAGCGTGTCCTGGATGGCCTGTAGCGGCTACTGAGTGATTGGGGTCGTTATTGGCCATGCCTAGAGAAGCTCCATCAATGTGACTGATGGTATTGGCTCGAGGACGAATGCTATTGGAGTTGCTGGCAATGGAGTTTTTGCGGACGCGATTCGCTCCAGTACCAGCAGCTCCGGTACTTTCCCTCCGAGTATTTCTGGGCCGCGAAGACGGGGTCGTGGTCATGTGCAGTTTCTGTTGATGTCTCAAAAGCAGATCCCGGCGAGCAAAGCACCGGGAGCAGTCAGGGCACTCGAATGGTTTCTCCTTGGTGTGCGACCGCTCATGGCGCTTCAGATGTTCTAGCCGAGCAAACGATCGCCCGCAAGTGGTACAGACATGTGGTCGGGGCTTGTCGGTTTTTGGGGGAGGGATATTAG